AAACATAGTCCCTCCTGCGTGTCCTGGGTCTTCCTCTGGGTCCCCTCCCGGTGGGACGTGCCCAGAACACCTCGCTAGGGAAGTGTCCAGGAGGCATCCTAACCAGATGCCCGAGCCACCTCAACTGGCTCCTCTTGATGTGGAGAAGCAGCGGTTCTACTCTGAGTCCCTCCCGTATGATCGAGCTTCTCACCCTATCTCTAAGGGAGACTCAAGACACCCTGCGGAGAAAACTCATTTCGGCCGCCTGTATCCTTGATCTCGTTCTTTCAATCACAACCCAAAGCTCATGACCATAGATGAGGGTAGGAACATAGATCGATCGGTAAATTGAGAGCTTTGCCTTTTGACTCAACTCTCTTTTCACCACGACAGACCTGTACAGCGCCCGCTTCACTGCCGACGCTGCACCTAGTCACCTATCGATCTCACGCTCCATTTTTCCCTCATTTGTGAACAAGACCCCGAGATACTTGAACTCCTCCACTTGGGGCAGGACCTCCTCCCCGACCCAGAGAGGGCACTCTACCCTTTTCCGGCTCAAGACCATGGCCTCGGATTTGGAGGAACTGATCCTCATCCCGGCCGCGTCACACTCGGCTGCAAATTGCTCCAGCGAATGCTGATCATGACCTGATGAAGCCAATAGGGCCAAATCATCTGCAAAAAACAGAGAAGCGATCCCAAGGCCACCAAAACGGATCCCCTCAATACCTTGGCTGTGCCTAGGAATTCTGTCCATAAAAGCGATGAACAGAATCGGTGACAAAGGGCAACCTTGGCGGAGTCCATTGATATCATCGATACTAGCCTGAATTTTACTCAGTATCAGGATGGAAATCCTGGTATGACCAATACTGCACAAAAGTTATCAACAGTTTAGATTTGTTATGATCTGAACAGGTCCACACATAATGTACACAACTAATCCAATGAGGTTGCACTCCCGTCCATTTTAAGGGAGGAGTCTAGAGTCAAAGAAAGCCAAGAGTCTCTGGATTTGGCACTTCGTTTCCGGTTCCAGATCGCGGCGGGTTGGGACAAAGTCCAGCGCTGCAATGATTTTGTCTGTCTTAATGGAAAGTAAATGTTAAAACTTTATTCTTTTCTGCCGTTATTTGTGTCTGCGCGAGTCCTCTCTCCACCTGAGAATAACGAGCCGGCTTTGAACGCCGTGGTCGTACGGCGATCCATCTTAAAAAAAACTCCAATCTCAGATTGAATTTATGCTGTTATTTAAAAAGAAATATATTATTTTAGCTGAAAGTGCCCCAGGCTACACTGGAAGTGCTGCAGCTAGCTGCTGCTGCTATTTGCGCTTATAAATAACCATTGTATGTAAATAACTACTGGTATGTAATACAAACTGTATTTTTAAAACTGGGATTGTTCAAAGAGCTATCTACAACAGATAAGATGATACTTGTTCATAACCTTTACGTTACAAACGTTACTTTAAAAAATCTGAACTGTCCATTTTTATTTATTTTTGATCACTTTGTGAAAAGATAAATTAGTAGCGACATGGCGTCTCACACAGATTTAAAGCACTAAACTTAAACAGAAATAATAAAGTCCATGCTCAATAATCCAGGTATACAATCCAACATTTTTCAGTCAGGTCATCTGGACAGTTCCTTTTTTTGTGCTGAAACATTTCACCTTCGATCCGGAAGGCTTCATCAGTCAAAGAAACGCACAACAAAACTGATTCTTCCCCCATCAGCTTACTCCAAAGTGGAACAAACCAGTTATATTGGTGCTAAGATGGTCTCTTTGTCAGGCCCCCTCCTCCATTGTCGGCCCTCTTCCTTGTTGACAGTCGTGTCAAACTGTGTAAAACAGAAATAGTTTTTAAACATTTTGACCTACAACTGCAATATAAATTCCTGGTATCATTTCTGAAATATCACCAAAATAAATATATTTAGGTTGTAGTGTTTATGATTTATGTATATTTTTTCTGCAACATTCCCTGTTTCCAGAGAATTGGCACCATTTTCTGAAATGTGCTTTTAAGTGAGGAATATCTTTTGGACTAGAGTAACACCTGCCCCCACCCTCAATCGCCCCTCTCTAGGCCCATGAGCAAGGCGCTTAACCCCCATCTGCTCTCTAAACAGGTCTCTTGAAAAGGAGTTCTCGTGGCTCAATGAGACTACCTGTATAAATAAAGGGTAAATGAAAAATAAATGAAAAAACAAACAATTAAGACTCATATAGACTGCAAATAATTTTTATACAATTGTTGGCATATTTAACTGACACTGCAGTCAGAAAATTTATGTATTTTTAGCAAATTTATGAGATTAAGCAAATCAATATTTTAGAAGAAATTAACCGTGATCAGTTGTAGATTGGAAGTTAAAGGATGTGTATACAATTACTTTTTTATTTTAAAACTACTGACACTTTGTCACTACTCAGCTGGACTTTCAGTTTGAGAGAGTTGAGCATAAATAATTTATAGCGTTGCACATACGTCATTTCATCAAACCTGTCACCGAACAGCTCCCATTTACCGGCATCAATATATCGCGTACGGTAAAAGAAAAGCCGTATTTTTAATGTCATAAAGGAGCTGAGAACATTCTTGGTGCCAAAGTGCAACTCATTTTGTGACGTTATTAAACTTCCTTTGCAACAGTGGTGACACAATTTACATTTTTCTGGAAATTCAAAAAAGTACTCTGTGGCTGAATTTATTGCAGTCCGGTAGTTTTTCGGTGAAAAGGGTCAGCTGTTGCAGCTCACAGTGTGTTTACAGCTGCACCGGACAGCAGAGTGACTCACAGCATTTCTGTGTTTAAGAACCTCTCTGTGTTTAGACTCTGTGGGGGCCACACGGTGGAAAGTTTGTCTCTCTACACAACTGTAATGCCATTTCTAAAACTTTGGGGGACTTTAAGGATGCTTGTAACGATGATTCTTGACTTCAGTGCATGAATCACCGTGTTTCATCATGTTCTCATTTTGTGCTTTCCCAACTTCAGCAAGTTTAGGCAGAAGTAGTTTTGTTCTCGAGCCGCAGCAGATTACACAACAATATAAAAATCATAAACAATTAATGAGTGCTCATTCAAGGTGACTTTATTGTGATTCGCATCACGTGGTACATGAGGTGGAACGAAATTGTGTACTCAAGGTCCCAGTTACCCACAAAAATAGCAATAATATGAACTATAAAAAAGAAACAGTATACAAGGATCTTAAGATACATGCCAAACAATAATAATATAATACAATACGGTGTATTAAACAGCAGCCTGAACATCTGTTGTGAGCAGATGGGTATGAATACAGCAGAGAGTGAAAAATAAATGGGTGACAAGTTCCCCTGAAAAGATATGAAATCATGCCAAACATGAGCCAGGATGTTTTTATTTTAATTATTGTATCATTCTCAATTTATAGCCTTTTTTTTTTTTTTTTTTTTTTTTTTTGAAGGAAACTTTGCTTTTAATTTTCAACAAAAATTAAAAGAGTAAAATTTCTTCTTGTAGGTTTGAGTCATTTTGCAACTGGTTTGTATCTATTAAAAAAAAAAAAAACATTAATCCTGTTGTGTTTTTCTTCACCTTGATATTATTTTTTTATTATCACTTGCTGTCAAAAGGCATAAGGTGTCTGCAAATGTAGTTGTCTGTTTTCAAAGAATCTCGTGAACCACTTGACAGATCTTAATGAAACTTTCAAAAATGTAAAATTGAATGTACGTTTACAACTGATTTCCTTCTGGCGTCAGCTCAATTCAAGGTGGCTGCAACGGGTAATCGGCATTAGTAACCATAAAATTAGCTGTGTCAAAATACAGATATTAAGCTAAAATGTGATGGTTGTAGCTGAAAAACCCTGCACATGTTCTCAGTGCTAAAATTTTGTTGTTCTGTACCATAAGAATATATAATTCATTCGTTAAAACCCTGTCTATATGATTACTTTTTTTTTTTTACAAAATTGTTGGACTTATCATGTCTGCCATTAGGTGACAAGAACGTCTTTATCAATAAATCAAAATACAGACGAGCGTTCTTAGCTTGGCTAACATTTATTCAAAACTTTTTTTTTTATTTAATTTTTTTTAATTTCCTCTCAGTTATTACTTTGTTCAACAAATGACCAAAGCTTTTGGTTGACAGGATCAAAATAAAGTGAGAGCTGCAAAAAAAAACCCAAATATATATATATTTTTAAATGCTTCGTTGTTGTTTTGGTTTCTAAGGTAGAAAATGATCATGGTATGGGCCAAATAAGCTGCGTTTCAAGTTCACACGTACATCCAAAAATGAGTTTTTGAAAGTTTTCAAATTTTGAAATCTTTTTTGAAAAGGGGTTTTTCTCACCAGAACTGTGTGGACAGGCGAAGCAAGCCCAACAAAACATTCAGCTCTAAATAATTTCTTGGGTAATGTAGATGAGACGTTTTTTGAGTCACTGATTGAGCGGGGGCAGCACGGTGGCGCAACTGGTAGAGCTGCTGCCTCTCAGCGAGCAGGTCCTTGGTTCAAACCCCGGTCCAGGGGCCCTTCTGGGTGGAGTTTTCATGTTCCCTCCGTGCATGTGTGGGTTTTCTCCGGGTACTCCGGTTTCCTCCCACAGTCCAAAAACATGCATGTTAGGCTGATTGGTAACTCTAAATTGTCCCTAGGTGTGAGTGAGAGAGTGAATGGTTGTTTGTCTCGTTTGTCTCTATGTGTCCCTGTGATGGACTTGCGACCCGTCCAGGGTGTCCCCCGCCCCTCGCACAATGATTGCTGGACATGGGCACCAGCGACCCCCGTGACCCAAAATGGAATAAGCGGGTAAAGAAAATGGATGGATGGATGGATGATTGAGCAGGTAGTGTTAATGTTTTTATTTCTGGGCCTGTATTTATTCAATAATCTTTAAAAAATACCTCAGATTTTCCACACAAACTACAAAACACACTAAATGAGATCTGTGATCATCTTAACGTATCAGCTCACTCTCAGTTCACTGTTTTTCTGTCCCACCAACAGAGGGAAGACCAGAACCCACCCACAACGTCAAACCACCTGCCGACAGGGCAGACGCTGCACAGCCGCAGCTTCAAGACGTGATGGATGTGGAGGGAGTGCATCTAGAAGAAGGAACGCTTGAAACTTCCCAGGGAGAGGACTCTGAGCTCAGCTTGAGCTTCCAGGGCTACGTCGCCGAGCTGCGACAGTGCCAGACCAAAATGAGGGGTGCCCAGCTGCCCCAAAATGGCCGCAACCCACCAGAGGGCAAAGACTGCCAGTCGGATCTGTACAAGGCCACTATTGTCTGAAGGGACCCTCTCCTTGCCCCCACACTACTGCACTTTTTAAGCCAGAGGCACTGATGTCTGAATGATAAGTAAAATAATAAGCTGCACGTAAAGATGTCGATATTTTCTCTTGAAATGAACAAAAATGAAATAAATTCATGGTGATAGATGTATATAGGTTTAAAATTCTAGACCCGCTGTTGTCAAGTTTTAGTAATGTGGTTATTTTGAGTCTGTGATAGGGTTTTTTCTTTTTTTTTGTATGGTTTAATAATTTTAAGTGAAATGCAACAAAAGTCACAGTAAAGTCATAAAACCTCCTGGGAACCATTTTCTAACCAGACATATGAATGATTATAATAGCTCTGAAGTTATAATTAATTGCTCGGTAATTGTAAGAAAACAATAAAGAGCAACATAATGTTCGAAAAATGTAGCAAATGCAAACGTTAATACTATTTAGCTAACTTCCGAATTGTTAAATTTGATATCAAAGAGATAGTTAACATGTCTTTAAGTGGGGCTTAGTGGAAAGGTCTTATTTAGGACGAATGCGTGGACAATTTGAACGCAGCATTAGAGATTCATACTGGCCAGGTTGACGAGTTAACAGAGTGGATTGTTGCCATCTTAACTTCAACTTCAAAAATTCAATGAAAAATGTATTTTATAACTCATTATTTCATTGTCAAGTATAAAGATCATCAGCATCATGATCATTCAATCGCCCAATTTACCTTGCTTGTTGGCACAAAGTCAATATGTGCCATGCGTTGTGTTACATCGATCACTCACTTCCTTACGAATTTAAACAATGGTCCAATCCTGCTTTGTGGTTCGATGCGCTTGCATTCATTTCCTATCAAATTCTGTGATTGTCTCCTATACCGCTCACGTGATCCTCGAAACACACTGGTCTGAACTGATATGAAATAAAGAAATTACAACGCTCTCCAGATGTGTGACACAGTTTTGCTTGGGAAGAGCTCAGAACACAACAGAAAACTAACTGGTTGAATTTATTTGGATATAGGCACCTAGTGACACATGGGCTTTGTGCAATTCTAATGAGCAAACCCATAGATTGGATGAGATCCTCACAAACGTCAAAGTATAATATAATCGATGCTTGGCCAGTGTTGGGTCGTCCTTCCATCTGCTTCTCAGCTTGTATGGATCGGGAAGTAGCTTCCTCACATACCGCTCCCTTAAGCTTTCTAGATAAACCTTAATCCGCTGATAACGGGTCAGTTCTTTTTTTATTTATCACGTCATCTTTTGTTGACTGGGTTTGGGTTTTGCTCACCAATTACAACGCAATAATGAGCTATACAGTAGTCCTTGACTTATCGTTGTGGTTACGTTCCAGACACCCCTGCGATAGGTGAAAATTCGTGAAGGTCGTTATATTTATTTTATTATTATTTATTATTTCAGTCTCTTACGAAAATTTCACAAAAGAGCGCAGAGAAAGAACAGACAGACTGATGTTACGATTACTGAGCCAATCAGCACCCGGGATACAGAGCACAATGCTCTGGTTGGTCACCTTCCATCAACCAGCCAATCGTGTGTCGTGTACAATCTTGAATTGAAAACCCGCAAAACAGTGAATGCGCAAAAGTCGAACCGTGAAATAGCAAGGGACTATTGTAGTTTGTTTTGGCTGCTCCCTTCTGCTGTGGTTGCCATAGCAAGCTAACACATGAAAGATATGACAATTGTTTACACCGGATGCCCTTCCTGATACAACCTGGGCTCAAACCCACAACCTCAGGATCAGAAGACCGCAGCACTGACCACTGAGCTACCGCAGCCCCGTGATTATCCCTAGTGTCAGTTATTCCAGCATATTGGATATTGCTGGAAGTGCCCCAGGTTGCAAATACGTATCCATGTATATATGTAACTGACTGTGGTGAAAAAGTATATATTAACATAAACTGCAAAAAATGTTTGAGATTGGCATTATTTTAAGATGGCAGCAATTCACTTGTCTCAAAATTGATTTTAAAACAACTATCTATAACAGGTAATATATTAATGGTTTATAACCTTTCCACACAACCCCATTTCAAATTGCAATCATCCCTTTAAATTGCTAATTGCCCACTCAATAGCTTCTTTCTTTAGTTTCCCGTTGTGTACGGATGTTAGATATAATAAACAAAATTAGGAGTTGTTAAGTGGAGTTTATTATTCATATTTTTAATGTCAAACTGATGTTGACTGTTAGAAAGTAGCAACTGAACAGGAGGAAAAAAAACAGAAGTTTCTTGGATATTTATTTATTTATTTTTTTGTTTGCGTTGCCTTCTGATATTTTACTGGTATTTTTTGAGGGTACTTCTATTGTCTGTATTTCCAGCTTCTGTGGTTTTGAATTTGTCCAGATTGTTGAACAATTAAAATGCTTTTGTGGCTACAACCTCAACTTTGATTCTAATTTTATTAAGTGCGGTAAGGCCTTTTCGCAGTTACTAATACGCATGCTTAATTCAATGTTGGCAGTGGCAGTCATTCCTTATCATTAATTTTATTGAACAATATTAGACATGGGCACAACTGGTAGAGCTGTTGCCTCTCAGTGTGCAGGTCCCTGGTTCAAATCCTGGTCCGGGGGCCTTTCTGGGTGGAGTTTGCATGTTCTTTCTGTGTATGTGTGGGTTTTCTCCGGGTGCTCCGGTTTCCTCCCACAGACCAAAAACATGCATGTTAGGCTGATTGGTAACTCTAAATTGTCCCTAGGTGTGAATGAGAGTGAATGATTGTATGTGGCCCTGTGATGGACTTGCGACCCATCCAGGGTATATCCCGCCCCTCGCATAGTGATTGTTGGACATGGGCACCGGCGACCCCTGTGACCCAAAATGGAAGAAGTGGGTAAAAGATAATGGATGGATGGAATATTAGACATGGAAAAGCCGCCATAGCCAATCGGTAAGGAAAATGTGAGTCGCTTTTTTTTTACAGGTTTTTTTCTGATTTTGCAAGTCGCTGGGAACCCTGTTGTTTCTTTTCTCTTATAGTGTTAGGACTGGGTTTGTTCGGGGACATGGTCATAAATTGTCCAGCCTCCTCTTTGTATTTTTAGCTCAGTATCTGGGGAACCGATGATCACAGCTGTTTTAAATTAGAGGTTAGATTGTGGGAGTGGGGAGTGTGTCTTGATACAGCTAATCACTGCTGGAATGCTAACAATATGTGAAGTTATAAAGTTTATTTGGACATTTTACTACGTTAATGAGGTCTTCACGAGGACTGTAACTCCTTCCAGATGGTGCATCCAGAATTGGACTTTCTCTTATCTAAAGCACTTGATGGCTAGCTTACAGATGTTTAGTTGCTTTCACATTTCTTCTGATTCCTTCAGTGCTGGTGTTGTTGTCAAACAGTGTCTTGTCTCAAGGCCAAAAGGCTTCAACTTGGTCTAATCAGTTTCAACAGTGGCCTTTTATTTGCCATTCTTCCATGAAGCTCAGCCTGGGGATGAGCCAGGGCAACAGTTGTATGCAGTTTATCCCATCTCACCTGCTGAAGTTTGTAACTCCTTCAGTGGTCACATGTGTCTTGGTGACTTTTCTTACCATTCTCTTTCCTCAAAAGTTTTTCTATGGATTTGTATTTGACTGTTTTTTGTTGTTCGTTAAGCTAATAATCATTTGGCGAGAGATGAACCAGGTTGTGTCCCCACATATATAACTTGGCAATGAACATTTTTTATTTTGTTCTTGGGCTCTTTGTTACTAGCAGGCTGTCACAAAACACTTATTTGTCATTTACGTAGTTGAATCTGAAAAACCCCGAGAGATTTAGAGATCCTTTATTGTCGTTCGCACCATTTGTGGTACATGTGGTGGAACGAAATTATGTACACAGGGTTCCAGTGACATCCAACAATAAAATGTAAAAGAAAAACAGTAGTAAGATCTAAGATATGAACTAAGAAAACAAACTAAATATACACCAAGCACTTATAGCATAAAAACAATGAGAACAGCAGCACGAACATGAGTCTGTGTGAGCAGATGAGCACGAATGAACACAGCAACATGATGTAATTCTTCACAGTGATTATCCTAGTTAGACATTCATGAGTCTAACTGCCTCAGGGTAGAAGCTGTTCCTCAGTCTAGTGGTTCTACACTTAATGCTCCTCAACCTCCTTCCTGAGGGGAGCGGGGCAAAAAGTGTGTGTGCTGGATGAGTGGTGTCTTTCATGATGCAGGTGGCCCTCTTCCTGCATCTGGAGGTGTGGATGTCTGTGATGGTGGGGAGTCTGACTCCAACAGACTTCTGTGCAGCCTTCACCACTCTCTGCAAAGCATCAACGAGGTTGATGGACAAACAGTAGTATTTTAACAACAACAAAAATTTCCAAAGAGCTACGACATTGTAGGGCTGGCACTTATAGAAATGAATAAAAAGTAGATTAGAGCGTTGAGTGACTTCCTGAGAAACGTTGATCTTCTTCAGTAAATCAAAGTATTGGGTGAAAAGCAAGTTTTGAATAGTTTTGTCTGTATGGAAACGTGGTGGGACTTGGAAGTCAGCGGTGTCTTTCGTTACTTATCAGTGAGACTTACATGTTGGTAGGTGAAAACTCAAAAAACGACCAGTCCTCGTATCATCGCTGTCCCATCGCATCACTGCCTGAATCCTCCTCATGAATGTCTGGAGTTCAGCAGACAAACATCCCATCACTTTATTGAAAAGCTTGAAGGAAATAGTTTAAACACCTCAAGCAGCTCCACTTGGTTCCTTCATGAAGAGTTCAAAAACCCTCTGTTGTGCTAAAAGGCTGTTGAAGACTTTAAACACAAGTGTAGTTGCTCTTTTTGTGCAACACCGGACCTGAAAAAAAAGTCTTCTCACAAACTTACGTTGTGCATTTTCAAGCGGAGGAGCTGGAGCGTCATCTCCTTCCTTTTCTTTTGGAGGAAAGGCAGATTTTCCAGACAATCATTGATACAATAGAAGTCACTCTGCACCGACGACTCTGAAATAGGTGGCGATGACCACAGTACACGTATTTAAGATGACAAAGGAGCCGACCTGGACAGGGAATAAAAGCAAAAATTCCCATAAGTAAACTGCAGGCAACAGGGACAATAAATGAATTGAAACATTTCTACGTTGAAATTTTTCCATGAAATGACTTCCAAGGTGCAGTGTAAGTTGACTTTATGAAAAACATCTGTTATGCTGTAAAAAGATTAGTTAAAATGTCCCTGCCTTGGTCTGGCACCAACCAGTCTTAACTTCTCTGGTTAACATTATGACTTGAAACCTTGTTTAAACATAAGCTAGCATTTTCGGAAAAACTGCTTCCACATCTGAAAAAAAATTAATGTTAACTTTAGCTTGCCAGACAAGATTGCCACAACCATGTTTCCTGCTGCAGAGCAGGCGCCCATTCAGACAGAAACTAGTCCTCAACTTCACCAAAGATCTGGCGGGATGTTTAAACCAACCAATAGGAAGACGTGATGCTTAAACCGACCAATAGGAAGAAAGAAGAAGACTATGAGTCACAGAGACTCAGATGCTGTCCACAGCTCACTCAAACTACTTTAGGACGCTTCACAGAATTGGACCTGCTCCATTCACACACAACCTGTTGTTTCTCTCTAAAATACTATTAATCGTGTTTACAAATGTAAAAGTAGATGTTTAACAACCCGTTAAAATAGGCTACACCAAAATGCAGGAAACTTTGTTGGATTTTTTTTTACCTGGATTACCGAGCATAACTTTAGCCCTATTTGCATGGGATTAGTTTTACCTAAGGTCCACATGTAATAAATAACTCCTCAACGTCTGCTTTTTATGTTGCGCATTCACACAGGATAACCAAAGCCTGAGATTTAGCTGAACTTTACGGACATCTTCCGGATGTGATGTTAATGCGTTGCGTATTGCATAACATTCGCTTGTGTGCTCGTGTGTTGTTCATGTGTTGCTTGTGTATTCCGTTACGGGTCGATAGGCTTTTGCTGGTCCAGGATACAAAAGGTTATTTATGCACTCCAATGCAGCCTCTATTGCCAAAAGCAAATAAAAATTCGCTCAGGAAACAAAAACTGCCTAATTACGTATTGGATCCCGCCCATTTCTTTCCAAATCACAGAGATGCTTATTTGTATTGGATTAGTATTATCACAGGACCACAGAGTTCAGCAAAATATAGTAGGTAATTTGCGGGGGAATTTTTACTTTACAAATTACTGACATGGCCAATTCGCACGGGATTAACAACACAGACAATCTCCGTAATTATTACAAATAGCATGTGGACCCTAGGTAAAATTAATCCCGTGCAAATAGGGCTTTTGATGACCTGGTTATGAGTTTTAAATTCTCTAAAAGTCATAATTACGACTTTGTGTAAATAATTATTACTTACACTCACAATTATCATAATACAACGGAGCTTTTGGGCCACACACACAAAAATATATATATTACATTGCCATGATAAGAAAAAAATTAAAAGCCATAAAATTACAAGAATAAAGTCATAGAATTACGAGAAAACATTTAATAAAGTCTTAATATTCCAAGAATAAAGTCTAAAGAATAAATACTTTTTTTTACAGCTGTCGTATAAATTTTTTTCCCACGAGTCGGATCCACAATGCGACCTGTCCACCAATCTAGTAGGCGTGTCATCAAATGACCAATCCGAAGCTAAATGAGTCGTAATATTGTCCGAACTCTGACACCATAAAGCAGGTTTACCGCATTTTAACTGTGGTAAAATGAAGAATGTTTGTTAAACTTTATTGTTATTGACACTCTTACTCAAAACGTGTTCCAGTACTGCCACCTACTGTTGTGTTTTTGTATGCTGCTTCTGGGATGCATATACGTAACATCATTACGTCACGAGTTTCATTTTCGTTTCCGTTTGAAAACGGCGCTCAGTGAGTGAAACTGTGTAATCTGTTAGCCCATCAGTATCATATTATTATCAGAATCAGGACTTTGACTTGCTCTGTTGTCTGTCTGTTGGAGTCAGCCTCCCCACCATCACAGACATTTACATCTCTTGATGCAGGAAGAGGGCCACCTGCATCATGAAGGACCCCACTCATCCAGCACATACACTTTTTACCCCACTCCCCCCAGGAAGGAGGTTAAGGAGCATTAAGTGTAGAACCACTAGACTGAGGAACAGCTTCTACCCTGAGGCTGTTAGACTCATCTAACCAGAATAATCACTGTGAAGAATTACATCATGTTGTTGTGTTCATTCATGCTCATCTGCTCACACAGACTCATGTTCGTGCTGCTGTTCGGCGTATTGTTTTTATGCTATTAGTTCTTAGTGTATATTTAGTTGATGTTATTCTTAGTTCAAAGTCTTAGTTTATATCAGCTCTTATAACTGTTTTTCTTTTACATTTTATTGTTGGATGTAACTGGGACCCTGTGTACATAATTACGTTCCATCACACGTACCACATATGGTGCAAATGACAATAAAGAAAATCTGAATCTGATGGGCTGCAGTGCAGTTTTCTGCAGGTAAGGAGCATTTAGCTTCGGATTGGTCATTTGCTGACACGCCTACTGGATTGACTGACAGGTGTCGTAGATCCGACTCATGGGGAAAAAAAAGTAACGACAGCTGTAAAAAAAAAAAAAGTCTCATACGACTTTATTCTCGTAATTCTATGACTTTATTTTTGTAATTCTACAACATTATTCTTGAAATTCTATGACCTTATTCTTGTAAATCTACGACTTTATTCTTGTAATTCTACAACATTATTCTCGTAATTCTATGACTTTATTCTTGTAATTCTACAACGTAATTCTCGTAATTTTACAACGTTAGAGGTCAGTGGACCAGTTGCTCCTCACAGTTCCAGGAACTCGTCTTAAGCGCAGAGGTGACAGGGCCTTCTCTGTAGCAGGTCCAAGACTTTGGAACGAGTTGTCTCTGCTTGTCAGACAGGCCCCCTCCCTCTCGGTTTTCAAGTCCTGTTTAAAAACCCACGACTATTCAGTAGCTTTCAACACCAGATGATCTGTGTTTAGAACCTGTATGCTCCACACTGGTTAGTCGTCATATTTATTATCCGCATTGTTTTTATGTCTATATTTCTGATTTACCTCATTTTGTATTTTGCTTTGTGTGTTGCGTGTTTTTCTGTCTGTACAGCACTTTAGTTGGCCTTGTCGCTGTTTTAAGTGCTCTATAAATAAAATTGTATGGTATGGTATTCTCGTAATTCTACCACTTTATTCTTGTAATTCTACGACATTATTCTCGTAATTCTACGACGTTATTCTCGTATTTCTATGACGTTATTCTCGTAATTCTACGACTTTATTCTTGTAATTCTACGACGTTATTCTTGTAATTCTACGACGTTATTATCGTAATTCTACGACGTTATTCTCGTAATTCTACGACGTTATTCTTGTATTTCTACGACGTTATTCTCGTAATTCTACGACGTTAATTCTCGTAATTCTACGACGTTATTCTCGTAATTTTACCACTTTATTCTCGTAATTCTACGACGTTATTATCGTAATTCTACGACGTTATTCTTGTATTTCTACGACGTTATTCTCGTAATTCTACGACGTTAATTCTCGTAATTCTACCACTTTATTCTCGTAATTCTACGACGTTATTCTCGTAATTCTACGACGTTATTCTCGCAATTCTACGACGTTATTCTCGCAATTCTACGACTTTATTCTCGTAATTCTATGACGTTATTCTCGTAATGGTACGGCTTTATTCGTGTAATTTTATGGCTTTTAATGTTTGTTTTTTCTTATAGCGTGGCAATGTAATTTTTTTTTTTTTTTTGCGTGACCCTAAAGCTTTGTCATATCATAATAATATTTAACTGTAATTTTAAACTCACGGTAACGACTGTTAAACTTTTACCCTGTGATTCTTTATTTTTATTTATTTATTTATTTGTAGTGGCACCACCGGACTTCCATACAACGCTCACACATTTCCAGTTTCAGAAACCAAGGCTCCTGTCTTTATTAGCTTGGGCGGCTGGGAAGTCAGGAGGATTTTAAGTGTAATTTTCTCTGACATGACACCTAGTGAAGAAGGAGGTTTGTAGACAAGTTAGGGGAGTATCCATGTCGCCCTGCTCCTCCTCTGCTCCTCCTCATGATGGGAAGCTTTTGGTCTTTCCTGCCTGTCGATAGTAGCAGAGATAAAGCGTGTGGGCGGCTGCAGAGAGGGAACACCAGCCTGGCTTTATGGGATGCCTCAGAGTCTAATGACGCAAGCCTGCAGCCTGAAACTGTCAGAAGACACGCAGGGAGTCCCACGTCTCCTGTGTCCAAACGAGACACAAGCGGACGGACTTCTGGAAACTTCAAGATGACAAACCACATGCTGCTGTTTGTGCTGTCCGCCTTCAGCGGAGGAGCGGTACGTTTTCTTGTTTGCTTGCGAAAATAAACAATTATTAGAAGAACATTTTGAAAACAAGATGTTTCCTTTAACATTTCAGCGCACATTAGTGTCTGGAGACGACACCGTGGTCTCCACAGAGGAGAGAGGTATTTACTCCAGAATTGATTTATTACTGAGTGAAACCATTGCAGCACCCTGTGTACACATTAAATAGGTGTTTGGTATGGAAGTAAAAAGTGAACATTTTGTGTATTTTTCAGATTTAAGCTTTTAAGTCATTCCATAACGTCTCTGTTCCCAGTTCTTACCACTTCTGGTAAAGAGTGTAAGTTCCCGTTTCGTCAGGGAGGAAGACTCCATCATCACTGCATCACGGTCCTGACCTCACAACCCTGGTGAGTCCTGACCAGAACTGGGTCCACTTCTTCAGATACGCTCACTAACATCCTGTCACGATAACACATTTTGCTGGGCAATTAATTGTCTCAGAAATTATTGCGATAAACCATAATATTGTTCGAAATTTGACAATAATTAGTAATTACCGTCAAATTTAAGAAGAAATGTTGGTTAACATGTTTTGCATGTAGTACCTTTTTTCGATCACAGGATGGCAATATAAGAGAGCATGTCTCTTTAAGAAAAATGGGAGGGAGGCCCCTTGACATGACATGGGCTGTCTCTCTTTGGTTCTCAAAATGGCGGACGCTTGGTGTGGTTTGAGCTCTTTAGCGTAGCATTTTTCACACAAAGCTTTTAATAAAATAAAAAAAAACACTAAACAAGTTCTCAGCTTCTTTTTGCAGAGAAAGACAACTTTTTACACTAAGGCACGTGTTTCAACTGTGAATTTTGGAGCTTTGACAAGACGGAGGTTTTTTTTCCCCGAGGTCGGCTTGTTAGCTTAGCTCGTAGCTTAGCTTCTCAGCTTAGCTGCTTTTAACCATCCAAAAACGTGATTTTGGACGGTTAAAACAGATATTAAAGAAAAGAGAAAGGGAGGGGTCAGTGAAGAGCACCGGAGTTGAATCGTGTCTTCAGAAGAAAGAGACACGACAAAACGATAAAGCCAATAAATGAAAATGAGGTTGATAATTTTAATTTATCGTGCGATTAATTGATTTATTGTTTATTGTGACAGGCCTACTAACATCAAGACTGTCATGTTTCAAGGTTCAATAATTCAAGGCTTAAAGGAATGCATATCGCCCGACTGCTTCTTGTCCCCTGTCGCGGAGCGAAAAGGAGGAATTGAAAATACCCTCCGTCCATCCGTCTTTTTGTCCGTGAATGTTGTGAGCGCAATAACTTGGAAAAAAAAGGAGTGTTACTGTCTAGGAATGTGCGATATGGCATAAAATTCATATCACGATATGTGTTGTGAAGGGTGGCGATAACGATATATATCACAATATGTTTTTGGTATAAAATTTGCAATAAGAATGGAAAAAAGCACAGGGTGTCCTTTGGCCTTCATTTATTTTGAATTAAGAAAATTCCACTACTAGGTCCAGAGAGTTTTAAAATAATAAACAAATCAAGTATTAGGCTTCTTTCTTGTAGTGCAAAAGATATCAAATGTAGTTTTAGCCATGTTTTAAACAAAATAATGTCTTGTTAACTCTTAACAGTTTCCAGTATTTTCACTTAATAAATGAACAGCAACAGAGCAGCATTTTACACTGAAACACTTCACCCTCCAAACCTCTAGTGGGCGACTCCTTCTGATTTAATGGAGAGCTGACACAAAATGACTGTGGCTTTGCCCAGAGGGTCTCGCAGTAAAATCAAACACATCGTTCTTTTCACAGATCAGAGAGCAGGTTTCTCTAAAGCTGACCAACACTTACTTTAACTTTTGTCGAGGAAAAAAAAAAACTTTCGACGGAACTCAGCATTTTGCGCATTCGTCTGAATACGGCAACACTACGGCAAGCCAGCTGTAGTTAGCTTGTAGCTTTGCTACTTAGCTCTTGAAGAAAAGACTTTAACGCCACTTACGCACAGTTTTCAACTCAAAAAAATAACGACTAAACTGACAACTCTGATTTGACATCAGACACAGCATTACTGTGGTTAGCCGGTAGAAGACAGATCTCTATCGTAGGCTAAATTTCTATCGTTTCTACCGTGTACTGTATATATCGCGCATTCCAATTACCGTCTTACATTTTGGTGTGTGGCTACATCTAGGCTAGTGGTTCCCAACTGTGGTCCTTGAGGAACACCATCCTGCATGTTTTACTTGTTTCCCTGCTTTGACACACATGAATGGGTGATTAACAGACTTCTGCAGAACTTGAGGAAGAACTTAAATCACTGAGTCAGCTGTGTCGGAGCTGGGAAACAACTAAAGCATGTAGGGTAGTGTTCCTCAAGGACCACGGTTTGGGAACCACTGATCTAGGCGTAAACAAAAAGGTTCCTTTTGTAAATTGGGTTGCCAGGTCTAAATCCAAGATGGCTGCCATCATACATGTAAATGTGTAATATTTGGGATCTGAATAACAGAAAAATAAGCAACATGCCGACTTTCACTTTAGTGTGTGGCTACATTTAGGCCAATAAAAATCCCTATCAAAAATTTTATGCCAAGTCCAAATCCAAGATGGCCACCACCATATGTACCATATTTTCCGGTGTATAAGTCGCTCCTGAGTACAAGTCGCATCAGTAAAAAAAAGCGTCATGAAGAGGAAAAAAACATATATGAGTTGCTTTGGCGTATAAGTCACATTTATTATGGGTTTATTTGATGGTCTAAACAGCTTCATTTCAGCTGGGCGACGTGGCACCATCCATCCATCGCAGCCGGTGCCACTAGCTCTCCAGCGTTCCTTTGTCTGCACCAATTGAGTGAAGCAAGCGCGCACGGGAGGACTCGCTGTTGCAGTTTGTCAAAATTTAAAGTGTCAGTCAAAAATTGTGTTATGAAGATGGAGGAAAAAAAATGTATATAAGTCGCAGGACTGACAAATCTGTGCAAAAAAACTGTGACTTATCCGCCGGAAAATACGGTATATATATATATATATATATATATATATATATATATATATATATATAAATTGGCCTCCCTATTATTTACAGAAACTATGCTAGTACAATAGTAGTACATAGCAAACTAGAAACTACTTTCTAGTTTTTATATTGCTTTAAAGTATAGATGCATCAAATGATTGGGGCCTTGGCCACCATTGGCCACCCTCTGGCTCTACTATTTTGCCTGGTAGTGGACAGAATTGCTCCTGCCACTTGCCAGGATCCGTTACTCTGCGCTGCCGTGAACAGGCAACAAAATAACAACAAAAAGCTACAAATATTCACTATTCAAATCCCTCATTGATGGGGGACATGGGCGTACTAATGTTATTAGTCTTCATCCAGGATCGTCTCATTGCAGGAGAGGCAGTTGAAGCAGTTTCTGATCAAACTTTGCAGATGACAATGCACAATCTCATGTTATGTTGATAACTCACAACTACTACCGCTCCAAGTTTTTAACTTGATGTCCTTAAAAGTGGCACAGTTTGAGCCATTCTTTTTGTTTTGTCGTTTGCAATCCATACGTCCAGTTATTGCTTTCTCAGAGTTTCATTGAAATGTCTCTGCTGGTTCATGCTCGTCTTGCGAACAGAAAGACAGTTTTGACCTTATGACCAGGTTTAAGGCAAAAACCGGAAAGGCACAAGGCGGACTCCTGTCCATTTGTTGCATCCATCCGTTTTTCTTTATCCTCTTCACAACACACTCAACTTGCTAACTGAATGAGTCACTGCCTAAAACTTCAACATTAACTGGAGTCAACCCTATGTCTCTGTTAGCACAATACCTCATAAACCACCAGATGGATGTTAGTGAAACTCAGAAAGTCGTTTCTTATTGGAAGAAGATGGCGGCTACAAGCTATCCATATTAGCCAACTCCAAAATGGCTCTAACTCAGTCAGTTTTGTAGGTACAGAAATTGAATTTGAACCTGTAGCTGAGAGTCGTTCGCAACACACACTCTGAGGGTGACGCGCACGAGAAAGCAAAAATTATTTTAACGGTGCGACCAAATCTTCCACCACTCCACATTTCTCAACGCCTTAAGCTGAAGCTCTCGGTTTTAGGTTAAAAGGTGATATTTTTTTAAAAACAGCGTTATCCCAAAGAACTGCGTTAAAGCGCAGTGTTATTAGATTTTAGACATTTTCTCCCAAACTCTGTGAACAGCTTGAAATTGATGCAACATTTTGGGTTTCTCCCAGTTTATCTTGAGGGTACATGACCAGCTGCTGCAATAAAACCACGGCGAAGCGTTTTCGTGTTTGCTTCAGATCGTAACCCAGCAACGTTGACCTTTTTGGGGTAAAAGCAGCGTATGTTTTGCTGAAGGGCTTTCCAGTCGTCAGCACTCCGAGCTGAGACAGGAAGGGTGGATGGGAACAAGTTGGAGCAGCTTTTCTGCACTTCCACGGAGTATGTCCCAACGTCTCACACCCACCCACGTGTAACGTTCCTGCAATCCGACCCCACGTGTCTTTGCGATGAGCTCAAAGATAAAGCAGCTCTCTGGGTTGTAAATTCACAGAGCGGCGCAGAGGTATGTTGAAGAAACCAGTGGATGATTGACAGAGTTCCTGCAGAAATGCAGTCATCAACTTTATATTACTTTTACTTGTAGATGTTTTTACAGGATAACACTGGCTTGCTTTAGGTGGAGAAAACACAAAAACAATTGGTGGAAACTGATCTTTAGGCTGATTAAGTTTCCGTGCAAAGTTTTTTTTTTTTCCAAAACTAAAACCTGCGAAATGTTGAAATGTGTAGAAACTAATAAAAAAAAAAAAAGAGTTGTTTATCATGGACAAATTTTCTCTGGAAATTTACCATACATCTACAACTGATCAACTTTTGGAGTCAACCCAATTCAAGATGGCCGCCACAGATAACTGACCTTAGAAAACACAATAATGGCCACAGCTCAATCACTTTTAAAGATGCTGACCTGAAATTTGGTGTTGCAGCTAAGATGATCCCCAAACCAGTGGTGTAGTCTACATTTTTGTAGTGGGTATACTATGCTTAGAAATCAAAGTACACCGGTTAGTACAGAGTAATTGTCAATTTATTTTGTTTTTTAAGCAAATTGGACATTTCCAAATTTCTCTGATGCTTATATTTGAATAAATGAACAACAAACTTGTACAACAGTTGGCTTTGTATTAAAAACATAATTTATAAAACAGTATCAAAGCAAAACATGTTCAAGTATTAAGTAGTAAGTACAGAAGTATTAATTATACAATAATTTGCTCGATAAGTGAATGTAATAAACAAGCGCTACATACAGACATTTAGCTACGGAAACGTTTAATTGCCATTTAACGTATCAATGACGCATGCCTAATGATATGTCATGTATCATTGGACACTTTTAAGTGGGTATACTGAAATTCTCAAGCTTTTCTAGTGGGTATTCTCTGTATACCCTCGTATCGAGTAGACTACACTACTGCCCCAACACATATTTTGAGCGCTATGTTTCGTGTAAGGTGTTTGCTAAAAACATTAATGTTACGACCCAACTCAGCCAGGAAAAGGGCAGGTAACATAAAAACCAGATTTAAAAAATGAAAAGTGATTTATTGTAGCCAGTTAGGATTTAACAAACAATAGAGAACAAAAAGAGGGTAGAGTAGTCCCTCGGTACTTTGCGGTTCGACTTTCGCGGACTCAGTGTTTCACGGGTTTTCAATGTACAGGATTGGCTGATTGATGGAAGGCGGCTAACCAGAGCATTGTGCTCTGTATCCCGAGTGCTGATTGGCTCAGTAACCGTAGCATCAGTCTGTCTGCTCTCTTTCGTTGTGCTGTTTTAGAGTGTTTAGAGCAGGGGTACCTAATACGCCGATCGCGATCTACCGGTCAATTGCTATCTACCTGTCGATCGCAAAGGCAATTTGAGTAGATGGAAATAATGGCAATATAAATGTCAGACTTTTATTTTCTTTTCATTTAAATTTTTTCAATAAACGTCAACCTATCGATCATCCTCATTGTTTAATTTGTCACTTGATTGACATACAGGTTAGCCAATCTGAGACCGGACCTTTTCTGTCACATAGGTCACCACGAATGCGCTAAAAACCGCACCCATGATTGACATACAGGGCAGCCAATCTGAGACCAGACCTTTTCTAGCGCATATGTCAACACACACACATAACCACACTAAAAACAAACATGTTGCCTACTAATAGCCTCCAGTTTATTTATTTTAAACTAAACTCAAGAAAAGCCCTATTCGCATGGGATTAGTTTTACCTAGGGACCACATGTAATAAATAAATCAATCACCAACGTCTGATCATGGGATAACCAAAGCCTGAGATTTAGCTGAAATTTACGTACATCTGCCGGATATGATGTTAATATGCTGCTCATTGCGCAAAAATGACATTACGTTAGTCACGATACGTTCAGGCTACGGCCACAGCTCAGTGCTGTGTTTTTGCCAGCGCTAGCCAGCTGTAAATTAGTCTACAAACAGAAGAAAATTATCCTTACCACACAGAGCAGTGCATGATGTGAGCCACCGTTGGCATATGATTTTGCTCCTTTTTTTTGGTGACCGTTATGGGTCGATAGGCTTTTGCTGGTCCGGGACACAAAAGGTTATTTATGCACTCCAATGCAGCCTCCATTGCCAAAAGCAAACAAAAATGTGCCCAGGAAACAAAAAACGCCTAGTTACGTATCGGATCCCGCACATTTCTGTCCAAATCACAGAGATGCCTATTCGCATTGGATTAATATTACCATAGGACCTCGGAGTTCAGCAAAATATAGTAGGTAATTTGCGGGGGAATTTTTACCATACAAATTACTGACATGGACGATTCGCACGGGATTAACAACACAGACAATCTCTGTAATTATTACAAATTGCATGTGGTCCCTAGGTAAAACTAATCCCATGCGAATAGGGCTAAAGTGTGTAAAATGAGTTGAGGAGCTGGACCAAGAAAGAAGTGAAAACCTACCCTTTCCATACGGAATGGGAGGATGTTTTTTTTTTTTTTTCACATCGTCATATTCGAAGTGCATTTGCCTCATCTGCAAGTGTACCGGAGCAGCATTTTCGGGCTATTCATAAAAATTACGACACTGAATTCCTTCCAAAAAGCTAGCTGAGAAAGAAAAAGGTGAACTAAAATCCCCGTTATCCGGACAGCAATCTTTTTTTCCTACAGCTGACCACAAAAGTGAAGGTAGCTACCAAAACATCATTCCGAGTGAGTCACTTAATAATTAATTGTTAAGCACAAGAAGTACTTTCAAGACGGAGAGACGGTAAAAGAGGCAGCTGACTCATTGTTCCGAGACGTTAAAAACAAACCAGAAATACTTTGTATTATCTTGGATCAAAGCTCTCCAGGTATCAACAAATATGGTTACAGTTAAAAGCCAGCTGCTGTCACGTTTGTTCTCAAGTTATTTTTCAAACAGGAAGTTGTTACTGTTGTTTTCAGTTCCTTGGTATGAAGAATACAAGTTATTGCTGTGTTTTATTTATTATTTTGTACGCAGACTGTAAAAATAGTCACTTTAAAAAAAAAAGCAAACTTTGAACGTCATTCATTCAAGCTTTATTTATCCAGGTTAGTCTGTATAAATAAAGGTTGAATGAATGAATTGAGTCACTCACGAGGACTCATTTACAACTGATCTGTTTTAGACAAAGTACAGACAACAATAAACTACTGTAAAATGAGTATTAAAATAAAAGTAGTCTTATAAAACAATAAATCAAGGTGCCATATAAAACATGATAAAATACTAAAAACAAGAACGTAAAACAAATAAAGCACACTTAATGTGTTTATAAATAAGTATATGTTTTGTATTTTTATAGTAGGTAGATTACTTGGAATTGGTACTTTTCAAAGTAGCTCGCATGCAGAAAAATTGTGGTCACCCCTGGTTTAGAGAGTTTAGAACATTAAGAACATTGCAAGAGTGTGGGAAGTGTTTATAACGCCTTAAAATATTCATTCAACCTTTATTTAGACAGTTTAATCCCGTTGAGCCTTGAGGACTCATTTACAAGAGAGACCTGATTTCTGAACAAAGTGTGTTGACAACAGTGGATAACGATAACAATAGACAGTCATAAAATAGGCCTACAAATTTAAATTTATCCTTATTTTAATATAGATACTAAAACATTTTTAATATATAAATACTAAAATAAATATAACGTTCCTACTTAGCGGCTTTTCACCTATCGTGGGGGTGTCTGGAACGTGACCCCCTCAATAAATGAGGGCCTACTGTACTTCTGAAGTATTATTTCCCAGTTACTATGCTTTACAACTATAACTTCTAACAAAATAAACACACCAACAAAATAAAAGGTAAATCAAACCACAAAGTTTACATTGTATTTTACAAAGACTATGTAAACAGAACTGTGCAATCTTGAATAACGTTGTTAATAATAACGTTGTTAATAATAATGTTGTTAATAAGGATGAAAATTATTTCAGACAACCCTTTTAAACAAACAAATCACTAAAAGCCGAATCTTTCAGCTTTAAACCAACATTACTCGTCAAAACAAAGATTTTTGATGAACCTTTTTATGATTAGCTCTTTATTGTGATTAACTTTCGGACTCGAATGACAATTCATGGCATTACCAAACACATCTTTAACTGTAACTCAATTTCTTTTTACAGATATTGAGCCAAATCTATGTGTGGTAGTATCTGAGAGTCATACCTAACGCATGCTCTGAGTACTAACATGTGAGATCTTGTGATGTGACGTCAGAAGCTATTTTTAGGATTTGACCAAAACATCCTTGGTGTGACTTTTGAATGGACCATGGCAGCGAGAGGGGGGGTCAAGGTCCACCCACCCCCGATGCTCCTCTGCGCCACAAAGTGAGGTAGTAACAGAGGCGAAATGGTTGACATGTAAACAGGTGCTCAAAAATGTGTTGAAGTGGTGACGTCCTGTCTGTGCGCCCACCTGGCTGTGGGATTAAACTACAACAAAAATGTATTACGGGGGAAGATTGATGATGTAACAGTACAGTAACTTTGGATTAATTTTAAAAATGTAGTTCATCACTCAAAAGATTCTCTGAACTGAACTGGTTTGTCCCATTTTGAAAGCAATATGAGGGGGATATTCGTCACACATTTAATGCGTTGTGCTTCACGTCAACCCAGCTGAGTTTTGCTCCACGCCTCTTTAGGTTTTTCGACGCTCACACCGTTTCTGAAAGCTCACATCTCTATGGTACAGTGATTTATGAATGGCCAGAGGCAGCAAAACGATGAACTGGTTCACCAAACTGTTTTATGACATCGCCTTAAGTCTAATGTTGATTCAGTGCAGTGACTATAATCTTCGTGTGTTCCCGTAGGTGCTCCCTCACGCATAACTATGACCGGGACAAGCAGCTGGGCTACTGCATTCCCTCTGATGGTTAGTTTACAACACTGATGACACAAAGTCCATCCCAATAAAAATGCAATTCCCTCTCCTCGTTGTCTTTATTCCTTTTTTGATGCATTTCAGGTTTTATTAACAGATCCCATGACGTTCCTGATCCGTGCCTGGTGACTCCATGTTGGCATGGCGGCATCTGTACACCGATCCCACATACTGGCTCGTTTACGTGTTCCTGTCCAGAGGGATTCTCTGGAAGATTATGCAAGCAAAGTAGGTTATTATTATTAGTATGTTATAATTAATTGAGCTCTAGATGTTTTAGATATGTTTGTGTTGCCATTTGAGCAACAGGGAACCAGTCATATGCCAGCAACAAACAAAACATGGTAACGATCATGGCAACAAGCTATCGTCGCATTCAAGATGATGCAGGTTTTCTTGTAAAATGTTTTGAAAATCCGCAGTGGACTCATAAGGTTGCTCTTTTATGTTATAATGTGTTAGTTCAAATTAACACATGATCTGTGTTGATATTGTAGATTAACTGAAATACCCCCCCCCCCCCCCACACACACACACACACACTTTTTTTTGCTGATGAAATCGGAAATTTGGGCCAATAACAGGCCACCTTATCCATGTTTGAAAACTATTTATATAAAAACTGCGTTCACGTTAGAGCAATAGTTCACAATCTGTTGCTTTAGGATTCTGTGGAAAGGTTATGATCAGTCAACATCTTACCTGTAGTGAATAACTCTTAACGACCTTCGTTTGGAGAAACAATTTATTTCGGGGGCAGACTGACGAGCGAACAGGACCAAGAACAAAGCTTTCTAAAAAAAATTCACTACATTTCACGCAAACATTATTATAAACACTAAAGTACACTTACACGAGCCTCTGAAAAGTTTGAGACTGGACTAGTTTTAGGACAGGGCTGTCCAAAGTGAGGTCTGCGGGCCATTTGTGGACATTGGAGTAATTTTGTGCGGCCCGTGATGGCAGTTTAAGAATGGTTTAACTGATAAAATCAGATGAGACTGTTTTTCTCATATGGTGCAATGTTAGATACAGTAACCGTTAGCTATTATTGAATTATTTTGTTTATTTTATTTTATCCAATTTCATGATACAAAGCACCACAAATCTTAACTGACTTTTACCAAAATGTAGACTTGTGGATAAATTCATAAAACTTTGGTAAATATAATAAGTGTTGGATTTGATCCAATTTATTTCTATTCGTGATTAAATCAAACACGTTATATTTACCCAAGTTTTATACATGGATAGAGATAAATTGGACTCATTTTTCACTTTTGTTTCTAACTGTAGACTAAAATGTATTTTTAAGCACTATAAAACAAGGGAAACAAAAGACTCAACAAATCAAAGGAATTGGATGTTTGTTTTTTCAACAACGTTCATGTTTACGAGGGTTTTTAAATCAAGTAATCATAAGAAAAATGAAAATTATTAACCTCATTTTCATTTATCGGCTTTATCGTTTCTTCGTGTCTCTCTCTTTCTACTGAAAACACTGGATGACAAAAAGCTCAACTCCGGTGCTCTTCACTGTCCCCTCCCTTTCTCTTGAAAATCCATTTTAACCGTCCAAAATCACATTTTTGGATCATTAAAAGCAGCTAAGCTGAGAAGCTAAGCTAACAGGCCGATCTGGGGGAAAAAACCTCCGTCTTGTGGAGCTCCAAAATTCACGGTTGAAACCCATGCCTTCGTGTAAAAAGTTGTTTTTCTCTGCAAAAAGAAGCTGAGAACTTGTTTACTGATTTTTTTTTAAGCTTTATGTGACAGATGCTATGCTAAAGAGCTCCAACCACACTGAGCGTCCGCCATTTTGAGAACTGAAAAACAGGAACGAGAGACAGCCCATGTCATGTCAAGGGGCCTCCCTCCCATTTCTCTTAAAGAGACACGCTGCTCACTCCCTCACTGTCCATCCTTCAGTTCAAACAGTCTTATACTGCCATCCGGTGGTCAAAACAGGTACTACACACAAAAATTGCCCAACATTTCTTCTTAAATTTGACAATTACTAATTATTGTCAAATTTCAAACAATATTATCGTTTATCGCAATAATTTTTTAGATGATTAATCGCCCAGCAAAATTTGTTATCGTGACAGGCCTAATGGGTTTACCATTTCGAGTCGTGGGAGTCACTGTTGCCCATGTCCAGCAGTCACATGTCCAGCAGTCACTGTGCGAGAGGCGGGGGACACCCTGGACAGGTCTCCAGTCCATCACAGGGACACATAGGGACAAACAACCGTTCACTTTCTCACTCACACCTAGGGACAATTTAGAGTTACTAATCAGCCTAACATGCATGTTTTAGGTCTGTGGAGGAAACCGAAGTACCAGAAAAAACCCACACATGCACGGAGAGAACATGCGAACTCCACCCTGAAAGGCCCCCTGATTGGGATTTGAACCAGTGGCTTTCTCGCTGAGAGACAACATCTCTACCAACTGCACCACCGTGTCGCCAAGTTAAAAATCTTTCTCAACCAAAATTGTCCTTTCTCCAAAAACATTGTTCACGTTGTTGAGATACAAAAATCAAAGAAAACAATTAATGCTTTTTCTTTTTTTATTCAAATCTTTGTGGCTTGCAGGTTCTTTCATTTAGACGATTTTAGCCAGCATATGAAAAAGTTTGGACACCCCTGTTTTAGGACAACAGACGTCCACTTTGGTCTTGGCTCAGAGCAGCAGTCAGCTTGTCAATAAACTAAAGTTCTCCAAACTGAGGTCGTTCAATGAGAGATTATTTATTTGAGTTTTCGCTTTGGATGATATATTCTGTTAACATTATGAATATGGGTATCATTAAAATTACATATTTTTTTCCTTTATGCCTTGACTTCCAAACAAGCTAAAAAAAAAGTAATGATTCAACAGAAGCTGAGTTTAATTTTTTATAGGTTAAAATCAAAACAAGAGCATGCACTAACTCCACTGAGCTCTTGAATCTCCTCTCACATTTCAACCTGTCGCCTTCCAGAGAAGTGCTACGAACCCCTTCACCTGCACTATTATGACGTCGGCGAGACTTGGGGGCGAATTCATCTTCGGAACGTGGAACAGTGCACATGTGTGGCGGGGGGAAGCGAGTGCCAAAGAGTCCGCTACACAAGTAAGCTGTGTTTTGTTGCCGCGCATCAACCGTGTCCTGTTTCTGCCTGCTTTTGTCGGCGTGATGAGTGAAACCTAGCATAAAAGGTTGCGGCGACCCGGCGGTGATCGTTTGAACTGACATTTTACGAACACCTAGCCACGAGGAGCTTTTAGCCAACCTGAACCTGAAAATGTAGAAAAACAACCTGAGTGTCAGGTTTTCTCTTCTTGCTTGAAGAAATTACTTTTTGTTCCTGTAACGGCCAAAGATGTGAAAGACCCAGCCCTACCCTTTCTTTGATCGTGGCTTCATAGTTCCAGTAGTTACCCCACCTTTGAATAAAAGCCATATCGTATGACTCACTGTGACTCAGGAGTGGTGGGACACAGTAGAAGACACACCCTGTGGGCCTTTGCTGTGTTTTTAACTCAATGGAGGGATGTCCAAGACATTTTCTGACATAGAGAAGAAGTATCCAGTGATACATCAAAGTTCATGCTCAATAATAAGCAAGGGGGGAAAAAAATCCAACAAAGTTAAGTCAGGTCCTCTGGACGGTTTCTTTTTTTTGTTGAAACATTTCGTCCTTCATCCAAAGGACTTCATCAGTCCGAGGAGTCACAACAAACTCAGTCCCATAAGCAGCACACTCACAGTGGACCAACCAGTTTGATGGTGATAAGATGGTTTCTGGAGTGCGCCCTCATCTGAGGCAGCCATGGCCTTGATTTGGAACCGCTTTGGCCATGGCTGCTTTGCTAGCAAATTTAAGCAATTTTATAGCTAAAAATAATTAAAAAAATGTGTTCTTTGCTATGCTATGCCTGAAACACAACACTACCCTGAGTTTAGGAACCTTTTTACGACTGAATGATATTTAGGTCAGAGTAGAAGACTTATCAATAAAAGCAACAAACAAACAAAAAAAACTATTGAAATTCTCAAGTACAGAACTACAAATGAGTAAAAAGCAGCTAAAGACCAAATCAACTTTTTGAAAGCCTGATCAAACAAGACCACTGTAAAAATGATAGAAAGTCTGACTTCTAGAGCACAATATTAAGAAAAACAGGGTGACTCAAGACTTTTCTATTTTATTCAAGCAGCATGTTAAAAAACATAGTTGGAACATTGTTTGCCATAGCATTTCGTCAAATCGTTCACAACTAAAGAGGCCAATGCTGTGATTTTTTTTCCTGCTTGATATTATTTTTACCAATTCAATCTCATTATGATTTGTTTCATAATATAGTCCCTTATTTATTGCGGGGGTTCCATTCCCAGCCCCTCCCTCCGCAAGTAGTAGCAGTAGTAATGAGTAGTAGTTTATTTTAGTATATGTTAAGGCGTTTTAAACCCTTCTTGCAATATTCTAAGTAATGTTTATGAACTCTGCTCTAAAAGAGCACAGCATGTCATGATCTCCGCTCTCTGCCACCTGCTGCTCTCTGCCACGCCCACTTCTCCGCTGCAATCGCTGGCAGGTAGAGTTGCATTCGGGCCCAAAAAGTCCGATTCGACCTGGCCCCAGCTTGTAGCCATCATTTCCGAACCCGACCCGACGAATTAACCGTAATTACAGGTCCGAACCCGAAACCCCCTCAACATTTTTAATTAAGCTTTGACTGCTTAAATAGTTATTAACGGTCAGCGGTCGCGTGCGGCTGAATAAAAGGAGGAGAAGATCAGAGCTGATGGGGTGTTTGTCCTTTCATGGCCATCAAAGCGCATTGAATCCCTGCTTCTGCCTGCATTCTGCATTATTCAGACACGGACCCTGCTCTGACATGTCTGCTTTGGGATCTCTCCTGTTTGGGTCATCGGCCGCACACGTCCACTGAATGCAGCAGCTGAACGTCCATTTGGGCGAGGGATCGCTTCCTGGCAGTACCAGACCGGTAGTCCCATCTGAAGCTTAACTGAACTTTATTTGACCTCTTTCAAGGCTGGTCAGCTCTCGGTGAAATGGCTGTGTGTGGCTGTGTATGGCAAGCCATGTTGCCATATAATAATAATGTCCTCACATTGTCATCACTGTATGTTTCCATACAAAGGCAAAATCGGTCTCTGCATTTAACCAATACACCACCAGGTGGTGCAGTGGGCAGCTATTGAAAGCACCCGGGGGGCATTTTGGTGATAAGGTGTTCTGCCCAGAGACACCACAAGGTATGCAGTGACCAGGGATCGAACCTGGGACTTTCGGGTCCCATATAATTGGATTGTAGCTGATCCGCTGATGCAATCAAAAGCCCAACACCGACCCGACCCAACTTTGTGCTGGGCTTTGGGCCCGGGTTAGAAATGACAGCTCTACTGGCAGGTGGCAGAGAGCAGAGATTATGACACGCTGCAGGAGGGAGCTTCTCCCTGCACCTGTGGGCTGCTAAATAATTTAAAATAATTTATTTAAAATAAAAAAATCTATGCCACTCGTGCAGCTCATCCATCAATCAGCCAATTGTGTGTCATGTCCAATCTTATTGAAAAACCACGAAAAAGGAAGTCCGCGAAGTAGCGAGGGACTGCTGTACACCAAATGTTTTCAGTAGGTGTTCGAATTTTACTTGTTTTAAAACTACAGAACGTGGTTGTTTGACATGATTTTGCTGAAATAATCCAAGCTTCTATGGAGAAACTGAATTATCTGGATGTATTATATCACAAAAAAGACCTGCTTTATACCATTCAGTTTCTAAACAGGGCAAATTACAAAAAACAACAACCCAGATGTTGTCTTCAAGTTGAGCTCATAAACCGATCAACCATTTGCAAAACTGAATGTAAAATTATTTACCAACTATATTTTTGAAATATGGAACTATTTGTGTTTGCATGTCCAGCATGTCGCAGAAATCCCTGTCAGAATCTTGGAACGTGTCGGCTGATCACTGCCACCGGACAGGAAGTGTGTCACTGCAGAAACGGCTACGGTGGCCCTCGATGTAGCCTTCGTAAGTTAACACCAACGTGTCACATCTACATAACCTGCTTCCACATTAGTCTGAAGACTAAAAGCTGTTTCAGTCTGAAAGTAATAAAACTAAATGATTTACATCGTCTTAAAATGGCTGCGGTGTCCTCGTGTCTAGAGTAGCTGTGATGTGATTTACCTCTTGTCACTTCAGAACACCTGGACTTTTGCTTGACAGAATTTTGTGCAAGCATTAATCTTGGTTTGTTGTGATGGTTTTGTGTGCGCCTGCCCGTGGTTTGTGTGTGTGCAGAGCCAGAGACAGAGTGCTACACCGGCAGGGGCACGGGTTACAGAGGAGTGGTGGGCACCACAGTGTCCGGCGCCCGGTGTCTGCCCTGGAGCTCCGATCTGCTCTTTGACGAGCTCCATGTGCGCACAGTGGTCCCATCGGCCGTCAACGGGCTGGGGGAGCATGCTTTCTGCAGGTGTGTGCATGTGTGTGAGCAAAAACATCCTGCTAAAGAGCCGTTATCGCAAACAAAAAATAATGATAATAAAAACTGCGGTGGTTGCTACAAAACCAACGGGCTTATCAGGAAAGTCAGACTTGTACTTTTCCTATAAAATCTAAGGATCCAGAATCCATCTTGTTTATACCTTGAGCTCATTGTGTCTCATGTGGATGAAGCTTCAGACAGCGTCCACGCACAGGCTCCAAGACGCATTAAACCAACCATGAACATTAAAGAAGCATCTGGTGAAAACAGCTCCTGTCTCAGACACATCCATTGGTCTTGTTGCCATGACTACCCAGCATCCATACATGTACACCCACAGAAAGTCGTTTCTGTAGCAAAAACACTAACCATCAAATAAATCATTAAAACTTTACTAATCAGTAAAACCTTGATGTAGATGAGAGGAGCACAAATCCAAAAAGGAGAAAATTAACCAACAAAAGATCAACTAGAATGATTGCTGGAGAAAATTTAGTGTGAAAGTTTATTGCTGAAGGATTTTTGCTGAAAGCTGCTGAAGAAGCTGAAACCAGCTGAAAAGGTTTAATCGCTTAACTTTTAATGTGAGTTGAATTTAAACAGCTGACATTTGCTGAAAATAGGAAAATAAAAATGGAAAGAAGAAGAAAATCAGCAGAAATGTGTAAAAAAATATATATTTTTAAGCTGAATACAGCAGGAATGTAGCAGAAATGAACAGAATAAGCTAAAAAAAAAAAAAATCTGAAATAATCACAAAAACAATAAATAAAATGAGCAGAAAAAGCTGAAATCTGATTTAAAAATGGTAGCTGAAAAATCAAAAGCTGACATTAGAAAATAGTAGCTGATAAAGCTAAAATATAAAAAGCGGACGTATAAGAAATTAGTAGATCAAGCTGAAATAGGCAGAGCGAGGCTAAATAAATAAAAAATTTAATAAAATAGGCAAAAAATTAACTAAAATGAGCAGAATAAAAGCTGAAATTGGCTTAAAAAGTAGCTAAAAAGTTTTTAAAAAATCTTAGATTAGTACAAAGAGGCCGAAAGGAACTTACAAAGTTGAAATTGTGAGAAATAAGCACAAAAAGGCAAAATTAGCAGCAAAAATACCAAAACGGTAGTTGACAATGTTTAATTTTGCTGAAAGGAGCATGAAAAGCTAACATTAGCAAAAAGAAGCTGAAATGTGCTGTAAAAGGTTTTTAACAGCCGAAAGGATGTGGAGCTCCATTCATCTTCAGTGAGAACAAACATGGCTGAAAAAGCTAAATATTTCAAAAAGTAAAACTTGCACAAATACCAAAAGTCACAGCAAGAATGTCCTGAACGAGCCGAACGTTTTGATGTTTGAATTGTTGAAATAGCAGAAAAAAATGCAGAATGAGTATTTTGCCAAAAGACATACAGCAGAAAATAGGATTTTAATAGTGTGAATGTTTTATAAACACAACATCTGGCCTGTGTCTTCCTTGTGGGATGTTGAGAGGTGCAGTCCATGGTGCTGTGCGTTCACACACGCACGCCGCTGTGTGTTTGTGTGTGTGCAGAAACCCAGATGGGGACAAGAGGCCGTGGTGCTACACTGTATCTGACAGCGCCATCTCCTGGGAGTACTGTGACGTCCCCTCCTGTGTGATGCCCGTGTGTGAGTAACTGCAGCTCAGGACGGGAGTTTGAATTCCAAAAAGAATGTAAAAGAAAAGAAAGAACTAGAGTGACCTCAAAGACAACCAAAAAATAAATAATCCATAAAGGTACACAAAAGCTATAAGACAACCAAAAATGACTTTTATGTGAAACAAACGAAGTAAATGAGCATAAATTTTATGTAAATTTGAAAATAATTTAAAGAGGGTGAAAAATAACGATCAATCTAAATGAGTAAAATCCATGTTTTTATAAAGTGCAGTTTCGATATAAAACTAGGCAGTGGTGGGCACAGTTCTGCCAATCTGCTTAATACAGAGCTAACTTTCCATGTAGAGGAATTAGTGTTTTCACTAACTTTGAAGACCTTTAGCGGAATTAGCTCCTCTCTCTCTATATATATATATATATATATATATATATATATTTTTATATATAGCTGTTTATACCCCTTCATATTATAACCTGTTCATAGTCTGTACACTCACAACCTGTATATATGTATACCTATAGCATATTCAAAGCAACTTACTGTATATTGTACTATATATATATCTACCAATTTATTTTTCTTGCTAAGCACTTCTGGATAGATGCAAACTGCATTTCGTTGCTTTGTACCTGTGACATGTGCAATGACAATAAAGTTGAATTCTATTCTATTCTAAAGTTAAATCTGGTAAATTCAAGTTCGCTGTTTTTTATAAAGACAGTTCTCCGCACTGTACAGGAGAACGGTGATTTGCTTAAAGCAATACTATGCTATGCAAAGTTAAGCAAAGCTAAACACCTCTCAGTGATGTCACCAACCTCTCAGTGCTGCCCCGCCCCCCCCCCCCCCCCCCCCCCAATCTACTGCAAAAAGTCTCTGACTCATGGTGTCAGTTTACAGCCAATAACTGAGACTTTAACATAAATGCCAAACAGAAGAGGAAAATAACATGTATAAAACATTTTCACACTCAGAATCATTGTAAACAGTCAAAAACATTGCACACATAATTCCTACCCAGCATGCTTTGCAAAACTCACACTGTTTCTGGGACGTGACTTTCTCACACATTTCACACATATTTACTATTAATAAAAGAGTAGTTCACCACAAAGAACATCACCAAAGTGAGTTAGTTCATTATATTAAATAACACAAGGGAGACGTCCGACACACACTGAATGCATCACTCAGCTTCAGCAGAGTTCTGCTCCGCCTCTTTGGTTCCGATGGACCGGATTAATTCCTGAAAGCTCACCTCTGAGCGGGACACGGATACTTTACCTGTGGTTTATGAACCGTTTTGACTTGTGTTCACATTACAGACAGTCTCACAGTGTCAGCGACAGCAGTTTATGCTAAAAGTTAGCGCTTTAGCGTTAGCTTCCAATAATTTTTTAATATCTGTTTAGCAGTTTAGTGTTAGCAAAGCTAGTCTAAAAAAGTTAAATCTGGTCCTCTGGACATTCAAAAAAACAAAACAAAGCAAAACAACAAAAAAATGTAGAAACGTTTCGTCTCTCATCCGAGAGACTTCCTCAGTTAGCAAAGCTAGGTTTTTAGTCAGCTAACTTTTTGATTAGCTGTGCCCACCACTGAAGCTAGGCAATATCAAGGTCAAGGTGTCTTTGTTGTCAATCACATGTGGTACATGAGGTGGAACGAAACTATGTACACAGGGTCCCAGTTACATCCAACAAAACACACAAATTGTAAAGAAAAACACTGGTAAGATCTAAAATATGAACTAAGAAATAGACAAAACTAAGACTACACTAAGCACTTACAGTACAAAACAACGTGCCAAACAACAGACATGAGTCTGTGTGAGCAGATGAGGACGAATGAATGAATGAATGCATGAATGAATGAATGAATGAATATGTGATCCATGCTGGAAAATGAGTCAGACTGATCACACGCAGCAGAAAACAGGAACATTTTGATTTTTGTCACAATTGAGATTTGCGTAAATATGAGTCAGTGAAGACAGCAGCTAGTGATCTCGGTAACAAAATATCTTCCTAAGCTAGCCTTTGATCAAATATTCCAACAGATATGTCTTCAGAATGTGTTTTATTCTATTTCTTGTACTTTCATTTGAAATTGGTGATTTCTGATCCACTCAAGATATTTTAACGAAACTTGATACAAATTTCTACCACTAGATGGCGTGTTGCATAATCTTTTCGTCCCTCTGCTTCCAGGTCAAGGTCACAAATCAAGGTCAAATGTCAGATAAGATCTTTTCTTGTCCTGGCCATTGCTATATGTTGCTGTATAATAATTTATCGACAGGCGTATAATGTGCCGTATGCAGTACTCTTGTTAAACATACAGCTGGACCGCTCGATGACATCACTCCAGGCCAATAAAAACAGTTTTCAAACCGGCACGCTTGTAAACAAAACTAGCTTGTAGCTAGGCCGAGTGATAAATCACCAAATTTCAACAAAATACGCATCATTTTGAAGCTTTTGAGTTGGGGAATTTGAAAACAACAGAGGGGATGTTTTTTAAAAAAAATCCTCATTGTGACTCATTTTGCCAACGCTGGTCACAAAATAAAGTCTTTAAACAAGACGATATCTGTCCTCACACAGGACCTGCACCTTTGGACTGCTCACATTGTGCTGAGGTCCTCCAGTATTCAGTGAGTTCCCCTGATCCTTTACAAAATTGTGTGGGGTCAGCTTGGACATCAACTCCCACCCAGTTCTTATCAGTGCAACCCAGTTAGAACAACAGTGGGATGAGTTGACGTAGAGCTGAATCGATTCTTATTTCCAGGCCTGAGGGAGTGCCTCATGGTACTGACATGGGATCAGCAGTGTTCCCGTACTGCCAACTGTACCTGCTCTGTTGTATCTGATACATTCATCCTGCAGTACAGTTTTAACACCTTTATTTCATTTCCACCATTCAGTCTGTGTGCTTAACGTCTAACTGGAACTTTTTAATCTTCCTGCACTGCTTATTGTTCCACATCGTGGAGTGAAAAGTGGGAATTGGAAACACTCCATCCATGTTGTGAGCACGATAACTTGTTCAATAAGCGAGGTACTTCCATTTTGGTGTGTGACATCATCTCGTGTAAGAAAGTTTCCTATTGAAAACTGGGTTGCCATGTCCAAAATCCAACATGGCAGCCACCATATATATGTAAACCTTGTGAGCTGGATAACTTTGAAAAATAAGCAACAAGCCAACTTCTTTTTTGGAAGCACCTAGGCATAAGAGATGTCCCTTTCAAAAATGGGGTTGTCACTTCAAAATCCAAGATGGCCACTCACTGCCAAACTGGGGTGGCTGAAAATTAATGTATAGTGGTCTTGGCCACCCCCTGGCTCTGTCGTTGCGCCTGGTGGTGGATAAAAAGAACTATCTCAACAGGATCTGTCACTCTGCACCACCTCAGACAATGAAAAAAACTACCTCTGTTCTACACAGTGTCACTCCTACACATTTGAACGTCTTGCACCAAAAACATTTAGGTTTACTTGCATTCAATTCCAGTCCAGAAAAACACTCATCTCAAAACCTACAAATATTCACTATTTAAATCCTTCAGTGACGGGGGACATACCCCATCTTTATGTTGAGACTTAAATTTAAAGTCTCCAGCACTCATTTGGTCGTTTCAGATTATAAAAACTTGCATGTGGCACTTAGTATTTTGACTATATTTCAGCCTTGATATATTATCAGTGGCACTCTGGTTTGAGTAAAAAAGTATTTGTGATTTAAAAAGATAGGGAATGGAAGTAATCTGTGCTGAGTCACGTTGCTCTCAGAAGTTGAGTCAGGTTAAGTCCATTGGTTTAGTTCAAGAGCTTTTGTTGAACGTGGGCTTGAAGAATTACGAGGGGAATAAGGTATGACTCACCCTGAGTCAGCATGTCATGTTGGGTGCAGTCGAGTGGGATCTGGTAAGGCTGTCATGAAGCCGTGCATGCGCACCAAATTCTCAAGCTTGTCCCATCTGCTGTGGCCTCCCCAGCACAAGATTTGCATCAAGAAGAGCCACTTGTTTGGTCCTTCAAAACGTTCTTTAGGGAAATTAAGGATGCCCCAAGGAAGTTCTCACCTAACTCGTCAAATGGTTGAAGTGTTCATCATTTAAAAAAAAGCAACACTAAGAACTTCAAGTGTGAATTTTATTTCTGTTTGAACTTTTACAGCGTCTTCTCAAAGGATTATTCTGTTCAACGTCCTTCCCAATGGCAAAAAAACAAACGCTTCCAAGCTGACTAGCAATCCCGTGTGTGGGACGAAGCACAAGAAGAGGCTCGCGGTTGCAAGGGGGCGGATATTTGGTGGAACCTCAGCCCTGCCAGGTACCCATCCGTGGATGGCAGCCATTTACATCGGACAGTCGGATTTCTGCGCCGGCAGCCTGATCTCCTCCTGCTGGATCGTCACTGCAGCACACTGCTTCTTCCGCAAGTACGCAATGCACAGTGTTTTCAAAATGTTACTGGGAAATCCTTGTGGCTGAATATTTCTGACTCAAACTTAGGCCTGTCATGATAACAAATTTTGCCGGGCGATTAATTCTCTCAGAAATTATTGCGATAAACGATAATATTGTTTGAAATTTAACAATAATTAATTGTCAAATTTTAGAAGAAACGTTGATGTGTTTGGAGTGTAGTACCTTTTTTGACCACCTGATGGCAGTATAAGACTGTTTGAACCAAAGATGGATAGCTGAGCAGCGTGTCTCTTTAAGAAAAATGGGAGGAAGGGCCCTTGACATGACATGGTGATATGGCGTATGCTTGGTGATTTGGAAAAAAAAAAAATATATATATATATATATATATATATATGCTCGGTGATTTGAGCTCTTTAGCATAGCATTTTTCACACAAAGCTTTTAATAAAAAACCAGTAAACAAGTTCTCAGTTTAATTTTGCAGAGAAAAACGTTTTACACGAAGGCATGGGTTTCAACTGTGAATTTCGGAGCTTCAACAAGACGGAGGTTATTCCTGCAATCGCCCTGTTAGCTTAGCTCGTAGCTTAGCTCCTCAATTTAGCTGCTTTTAATGAGCCAAAACCACAATTTTGGACAGTTAAAATGGATTTTAAGGAGAAAGGGAACAGTGAAGACCACTGGAGTTGAGCCGTGTCGTCAGTAGAAAGAAAGAGACACGAAGAAACGATAAAGCTGATAAATGAAAATGAGGTCGATAATTTTCATTCATCATGCGATTAATTGATTTATTGTTTATCGTGACAGGCCTACTCAAACTACTGTAGAATGGGTTATTTCTGGACAAAATGTGAAAACGTATAAGCGTTTTCAGTTCCTAATAAAAGCTGAAATACATTTTTATCCTTTAGAACTACTTCGTAAAGACCCAACAAAGTTAAATCAGGAACTCTGGACATTTTTTTTTTGTGTGTGTTGAAGTGTTTCGACTTTCATACAAAAGACTTCATCAGTCTGAGGAGCCACAACAAACTCAGTCCCAAAGGTAGCACACTCACATGAGTCCACCCTCTCCCCCGTCGACTCCTCTGAAGCAGCCATAGCCAAAGTGGTTCAAAACATCAAAGTTCATCCTCAATAATCCAGATAAAAAAAAAAAAAGACTTATGGGACTTAGTTTGTTGTGGCTCCTCGGACTGATGAAGTCCTTTGGATGAAGGACGAAATGTTTCAACACAAAGAAATTGTCCAGAGGACCTGACTTAACTTGAGCATGAACTTTGATACTTCTGAAAGACAAAACTCTCTCAGAGAACTTTCTAATTCTATTAGACACATTTTGTTTAGTTTTCAAACTATAGTTAAAGAATAAAAGATAGTTAGACGTTTTTTTTTAGACTTTGACTCCATTCAGGGGCCATTTTAAGCCAACGACAGCAGGAGGGTTAAAGATTTGAGGTCTGCGTTCTTGACACAAAGTTGAGCTCATTTCCTTTTGGGTGTTGGACTCTGTCAGGGCTGCCCTCTGGTTTTTGATCCTGGTTATGGTGTTTATGGACAGGATCTTGAGTTGAAGTCATAGATGTCTGGTTTGGGAACCTCAGGATCTCATCTATGGTTTTTGTAGATGAAGTGGTTCTGTTGGTGTCTTCAACTATCTACAGCGTGTACTGGCAACGTTTGCAGCCAAGATGAGAGTCAGGTCCTTTTAAGTCTGAGACTCTGGTTAACTGTGGAATGGTCCTTCAGGCTTTGAAGCAAGTCTGCTTGGAGCGGTCTGGAAATCTTGTTCACGAGTGATGGTAGGATGGAGCGGGAGATGACTGAAGTAGAGCTTTGTCTTCAGTGACAAAGGCATTGCTTCAATCTGACATGGTACATCTACCTGTATGTTTCAGCCCTCACCAGAAGAACAAGATCCCAGAAACAAGTTTCTGAAATAAGTAAAATAGGCTTCTTCTGTAGGCTATCTGGGCTCAGCCTTACCGACTGGTTGAGGAAGTCCTAACTTCAGTGCTCACCATAAAAAATACCTGAATGTTTTAAGGTATTGGCTCTTCCGTAATCTCTTAACCTTGTTGCCACATGTTCAACAAACAAATTTTCAAACAAGTTTGGCTGTAAGTAGTTATTTCATGCTTAGAAGAAAGGTCATGTGACACCATGGCTGCATGTGAGGGAGTAGGCGGAGCTTAAAGCCCCACAACCCTAATGCTCAGACTCTGGTTCCAAAATTACAACACTGCAGCTTCCATTAACCTGGTCCTGCTGGCTTCAGTTCCCAACAATGAAAGAAGGCTTGGTCTAGTATGATATACGTTTACAGTCTATGGCTTCGTTTTGTACCTGCGCACTCTACGACACGACCTCGGATAAGGGAAGGGACATCTGAGATTGTCATCAATGTATGTTTCCATACAATGGAGAAATTAGTTCTTTGATTTAACCCATCACATGTGAGATACACCCAGGTGGAGCAGTGGGCAGCTATGTAAGCACCCGGGGCGCAATTAGGGATTGGGTGTCTTGCACAGAGACACCACGATCTGTGGGAATGTCTGGGAGTCGAACTGCAAATTTCTGGTCCCCAGTCGACTGCCCTACCTCTACCCCATCTCAGCCCCCAATAAGCTGTAATAATTAATGCATAAAGTGTGTGTACTTTAGATTCTCTTCAACCAGTAGTTGCAATAACTTGTTTCTGGACTGAAAGCACCAGAAGGACAAACATTTACTTGGACATGAAAAGTACTGTGAGTGTAATGTCTTCCCACAGCCCCCTGAAGTCTCAGATCCGTGTGGTTCTTGGCCAGCACCACTTTAATGTTACCGGCCCCAACACCCAGACCTTCGCAGTGGAGAACTACATCTTCCCAAAACAGTTTATCGTGTTCAATCCAACGTTACATGACATCGGTAAATACGCAATCGCACGCATCTCAGCGAGTCTTAAAGTCTAGCACTTACCTCAAAGCTTGTTTTCCCATTTTATGACTTTTCGTTTGTGGCAGTTCTGATCAAACTGAAGAAGCAGGACGGACGCTGCGTGAGGAAAACCCCGTTCATCAGGCCCATCTGCCTCCCAGACAAAAACACAACCTTTCCTCCCGGCTACTGCTGCACCATCAGCGGCTGGGGACGCGTGCACGAGAGTGAGTCGTCCCCACGTTGTGTTCGTTAGGAAAATGCTCAACAGGAAAACATGAAGACGTCCATTTTCTCTTCTTTTAAAGAAACAAGTTATGGTTTATGTTACAGAGGCGAGTAGTTACTCCACGCTGCAGGAGGCCGGCGTGAGACTGATTTCTGACGACATCTGTCGGGACCCAAGAGTGTACGGCCACCACGTCACCACCGACATGATCTGCGCCGGGCTCAGCGGATGTGTGGACGCATGTCAGGTAGGGAAGCATTTTGGAGGCAGATGAGTAATATTAATATTAACTCTGCCTAAGAGGTGTCGGTGTCCATATTTAAACAGAACCTTAATTTAATTTTTTTTTTTTAGAATTGCTAGAAAATTAAAGGTGTGACATTCGTTGATGATGGTGGTGTCACAGGATGTTGCACTCGAAGTTTACAGAACAAATGACTTGCAGATGCTGCCACGTTCATTTTTAGCTCAGTATCTGTAAAACTCACTGAGGTATAGACATTTTTTGTGTAGATTACTGTAGGCCTGTCGCGATCAACAATAAATCAATTAATCGCATGATAAATGAAAATGATCGACCTCATTTTCATTTATTGGCGTTATCGATTCTTCGTGTCTCTCTCTTTCTACTGGAGACACTGGATGATAAAAAGCTCAACTCCGGTGCTCTTCACTGACCCCTCCCTTTCTCTTTTCTCTCTAAAATCCATTTTAACCGTCCAAAATCACGTTTTTGGATCGTTAAAAGCAGCTAAGCTGAGAAGCTAAGCTACAAGCTAAGCTAACAGGCCGACCTCGGGAAAAATCCTCCGTCTTGTCGAAGCTCCAAAATTCACGGTTGAAACCCGTGTCTTTATGTAAAAAGTTGTTTTTCTCTGCAAAAAAAACTTAGAGCTTGTTTATTGTTTTTTTTTTTTTAAAGCTTTGTGTGAAAATGCTATGCTATAAGTGCTCAAACCACACCGAGTGTCTGCCATTATGAGAACCGGAAAAAAAGGAAAGAGAGACGCCCATGTCACGTCAAGGGGCCTCTCTCCCATTTCTCTTAAAGAGACACGCTGTTCGCTCCCTCACTATCCATCCTTTGGTTCAGACAGTCTTATACTGCCATCCAGTGGTCAAAAAAGGTACTAAACACAAAAAAAATGAACAAACATTTCTTATATTTGACAATAATTACTAATTAATGTCAAATTTCAAACGATATTATCGTTTATCGAAATAATTTCTGAGACAATTAATCGCCCAGCAAAATTTATTATCGTGACAGGCCTAGATTACTGCTGATACTGATGAAACCATGTTTCTTTGGTCCACTGTGACCTGTTCGGTAATAAACAGGTAGTCTCATTGAGTTATGAAGACCCAGCTCCAAGAGAGACGTGTACTGGGCAGCTATGTGAGCGCCCGGGTGTGACGAGGCTAAATGTTTTGGCAGCATGAAGCTTGTTAGCCCGTCAATAAATAAATAAAATCCATAAATTAGCATCAGCATTGTATAAGCCCCAGGGTTCAAAGCGTGTGAAAAAAGTAGCAGCTTATATTCCGGAAATTACGGTAATTTTGTGTTTTGTTAGCTGTAGCAGCCATTCCTCTTGTTTAACATCAGTTTTAGACATACATTCAGTAAATATTTCCTGAAAGTTTAATTAAAATCCATTCAGTGGTTCATGAGATATTTTGCTAACAGACATACAGTGTTGAATCTAAGAGGTAATGCTCAAGTTTTAAGCAAAGATGTGCAGCACGCAGCACTCAAAGTACATGTTGTGAATGACTCTCAGCTACTACCAACAAATACCTAACAAATTGTAGTTCAATTTCTGTACAAGTGACCGAGTTAGAGAGGGTGAGGAGCTCCGTCATCTGGGGGGGGGCTCGGAGTAGAGGCTTCACATAGAAAGGAGTCAGTTGAGGTGGTTCAGATATCTGATTAGGATGCCTCCTAGACTGGTTTGTTGGAGGTTTTCCAGGCATGTTGCAATGGAAAGAGGCTCTGGGGAAGACCCAGAACTCGCAGGAGGGATTGTGTATGTTTGTGAGTAAACTATGTGTTCTTCCTCAGGGGGACTCCGGGGGTCCGCTGGCTTGTGCGACAGGTGACGTCAGCTTCTTGTACGGGATCATCAGCTGGGGAGAGGGCTGCGGGCGACCGGGGAGGCCCGGCGTTTACACCAAAGTGGTGAATTATATCGACTGGATCAATTCAGTCATTAAACGCAAACCCCGAACTTTATGAACACAAATGACTTCAACCTTAGATATAGTATTTGAAAAAAATGTAAAAGTAATATAAAATATATATATATATTTGATATTTATAAGTTGTTTGTTTATGTGAACTGCTTTCTGACTGAAGAAACCTTCTGTGACTTGACAAAACTCTGTGTCTGTAAGACCAATAAAAGGTGCTGATGAAACATCAAATTAAAAAGTGTTGTTGTTGTTTTTTTTCCCCAGGAACATTCAATTAAATGTTTACAGTTTTCATCTGAAGATGGATTCATAAATGTGGATTTACTCAGATACAAGCTTAGTCTTTTCAAAATAAGTATTTTTGCAACACTTGGAAACACTCCCGGTGTTTCAAATCATTTATCTATATATTTATTGTTTTGCTTTTAAATCAATCCTAAGTACGCACTTACATAATTCAAGAAAGGAGCCAACATTTTGGGAACTTAGCTAAACTAGCTAGCATTGTTGGCTAACTGCTAGCTAGGAACTTTGTTTCAGCTTGTCACAAAGACACCGTTTATTTGACTTTGACTTCAACCAAGTAACTGCTCAAGATCAACTAGCTGAAAACTTTGTTTTACCGCTGCACAATGCGTGACAATCTTACAAATTATTCTGGTCAACTAAAGTTGTTTAGTATATAATAATAATGTGTTATGTGTTGTCATCATTGTGTGTTCCCATACAATGGCGAAATTGACGCTGCATTTCAGCCATCCACCACCAGGTGGAGCAGTGGGCAGCTGTGGAAAGCACCCAAGAGCAATTGGGGATAATGTGTCCTGCTCAGAGACACCACGAGATGTGCAATGACCGGGGATTGAACCCGGGACCTTTGGGTCCAGAGTAGGCTGCCCTGCCCCTGATACACAATATCTGAAAGTAATGTCAATAAGGGAAAAACAACAAACAAACAAAATAAACCTGTAAAACCTGCCTTCAAAATTAGTTGGTTGGTTGAACATGTTTGTTGATTGATTGGATGATAGATTAGTCCACTGGTTAAATGGTTAGTTGGTTGGTTAATTGATTGATTGGATGGTTAGTTGAATGTGTTTGTTGATGGACTGGACAGTAGATTGGGTTTTTAGTTAAATGTTTGAATGATTAGTTTGTTGGTTACTTGAATATTAGTTTGGTTGATTAAACGATTTTTGCTTGATAGGGTGGTAGATTAGTCCATTGGTCATATGTTTGGTTGGCTGATTGGGAATTAATGGAGTAATTTTTTTTTTTACGACACTTCCCAAAACAGTTCCAACGTACTAAAACCATACCTGGAAACAGGAACAGACACAGTGACACAGTACTAGTCATTGAGCTTTTAACAATGCATATGTTCAGTGGGAGTATTTTGAGGTGCATTGTGGTCTAGATATATTCATGCCAACTTCATTCGTGTTCAGCCGTTCATTAAAATACAGTTTGGGCATGTCTGGCAGAGAGGAGACCCGGGACATGCTGGAGAGACTATTGTGTCTCGGTTGGTCTGGGAATGCCTCAGAATCCCTTAAAGAGCTGGAAGATGTGGCTGTGGAAAGAGATGTCTGGGCCTCCCTGCTTAAATTGTTGCCCCCGACTTTGGAACAACGGAAGATGATGGACCGACAGATGAAATACTCTACACAGCTGGGCTCTGCAGTTATCTGACCTCCAGCAACTCTGCACTTAGAAGACATCTTGGAATCTCATTGTAAAATACAAATAATAGTCAATTAAAAACAGGTGCACAGGCCCAAAAGACTACAGCTGAACGCTGACCTTGAATACCGAAAATAGCCATGAAGGTATTTGGGGCATGGTGCCTGATTTTATTGGCATTAGTAACTGTAAAAAGATCCAACAGAACTGACCTTCCAAGAACTTGAACCTTATGAAAGCAGAGTGATAAACTTTTAACAGGCTATGAAACTAAATCACCAAAATTATTTCCAATTTTTCAGATTGACAAATGGTTTGGACTTGCCCAGGAGTCAGACAGTGGTATGGCCGGTGCACAGAAGGACGGACAGACAACGGCGTTACATTTCCCATGTGCCTCCCTTGTCTTTTTTGCAGGAGGGGGCAGACAGGGGCTTGTAATTTGCCCCCCACAGGCAGCAAACAGAGCAGCTATTTTGAAAGCGACCCCTCATTCAGGCAGCGCCTCTGCAGCTGTCAGGAACCATGACTGAAGATGACGGATTCTGTTGTCGTGGAGGGATACGCCAGACTCCGAGAGGGTAAAAAGGTGCTAACTTTATCCTTATTTGCCGGCGGAGATCACTGAAGTACTTCCACACCTACTTGGTTTTGCTTATAAAAGTTTTGCTTCTGTTGTGTGTCGCAGTGGAAAACGAGGTGGGTCGTATTTCGGAAGCCGTCGCCTGTAGCAGGTAGGAAACACTGACTCTTAGAGGTGACTTGAACGTCCCCCTGAGACTGTTCACATTTACTTCAAACGGTAAATCAATGCGCCTTTTTGGAGGGAAGATGACAGGTTTTCATATTTGTTTTATTGAAATAAACGTTGAATTATGTTTATTACTTGTTGCTAAAGGTCACCATTTGGACACAAACTTCTTGTATGAGACGTTCGAGTTAATAAAAGTTAACGGTCAAAGGGTTCAAACTGCACAAAGACTGAAGGATGTGGAGAGCTCCGTTCATTTTTTAATAAGACAAGCATGGCAGAAAAAGTTAAAATATTTAAAAAAGTAAAAGTTACACGAACACCGACAGTTCTAGCCAGTATGTGCTGAATGAGCTGAACGTTTTGATGTATGAACTGTGGAAGTAGCACAAAAACTGCAGATGGAGTTACGTGCCGTAAAATGTACAGACGAAGAAATGGATCTCAATAGTGAGAATGCTTTAAAAGGATCACCACGATGAAATAAAACAGGTTGTTACTCAAACATAAGTGACTGGAAACAGCTGGATTTGACCTCACGTTGAAATGAAGTGACTGACTAATAGCAAATATTAATTTTAAGAACTCTGCAGATGTTAACCAGTGAGACTTTACCTTTATTGAAACTCAAATGAGGTCTCATCAAATTGCCTACATTTAATAGTCTCCACCTTTTTTTCGTTTTATAAAACACAGAGGGATGTTTCCCAGCCTCTGTGTCTTAAAGGATGTGATGGACAGCTTAGCACTCCACACGTTGATCAGCTGCTCCTCAGATCTTTCATGTCACTGTTGTTACAGCTGTCTGCACTCATACCTCCTTTATATATATACTGGTATATGTGTGTGTGTGTGTGAAGGAGAACAGCACACACACTGTGTTGTGACAGTTGACATCAGTTGAAAGACGTTTAGAGACTAGAGGACACGGTGGCAGCATAAAATCCTTGCAAAAAAGTATTTTTTAGTTTTCACGTGTCGTTATGAAGAAAGAGCTGTTTTATATAGGTGGTGCTGTGGCAGAAATATTAAGGGAGACCGCAAGACCCAGCTTGTTGATTCAAACAAAATATTACACCCCCCCGAATCTTCACTTCGTCACCATCTCCCATCCTGAGCAAGCGCAAAGGAGACAGTGGAAAGGAAAAACTCCCTTTTAACAGGAAGAATCCTTTAGCAGAACCAGGCTCAGGACAAGTGGTCATCTGCTTTGACCAGCTGGGTTCGAGAGGAACAGGAAGGAGGAACAAACAAACACAGAGTGGCAGGTCCAGGTGTAGGTGCAGGTGTACCCCCTATTAGAAGAAAGACAAAAAACCATGTCGAGGATAGAAATAAATACAAAGTACAAAACAGATAGAGTAGAGCAAGTAAAGACAGCAGCAGAGTGAAGAAATGTGGTCAGTTCGTCCTCCAGCAGTCTAAGCCTATAGCAGCATAACAAGCCAACCCTAACTATAGGATTTATCAAAAAGGAAAGTCTAAAGCCCAGTCTTAAAACTGGACAATGTGTCAGCCTCACGGACGGAAACTGGAAGTTGGTTCCACAAGAGAGGAGCCTGATAAATGAAAGACCTTCCTCTCATTCTGCTTCTGGAAACTCTAGGAACCACAAGTAAACCTGCGGTCTGAGAGCAAAATGATCTGTTAGGAAAATATGGAACAATAAGATCTGTAATATAAGATGGAGCTAGGTTGTTGAGGGCTTTGTAGGTTAATGTTAATGTTGTAGTAGTTGTACATGTTCTCGGTGCTTATCAGGGGGTACAAAGAAGCAGGTTCCTCTAAATCTACTTCAACGCACAAGTTGTGTTATTTCTTAGTGTGTTGATGACTGTCATGATTGTGGGTTGATTGCGATATCCAAGGTTGCAGACAAACCTTTAGGAAATTCGGACATGCAAAACTAAAGACTTTATTCAAAATAAATCGCTGACGAGGCAGCCAGGCCTGCATTTGGCCCTCGGGCCTTGATTTGACACGTCAGAGTATTTGAGACCAGTGGACGGGGCGGCTCGAGTCCATTTTTGTCCTTGTGGTTGGTGACGCTCGTTGTCCTCCTCCGTCAGATTGCCTGGTGTTGCTGGGCTTCAAGGACAAATCAGACAAAGTCCAGGGCAACAAGGAGAGATCAAGCGTCACGTTGGAGGAGATCTGCGGCCTGGAGCCTGGACAGTGGTACGAAGGCGTAGCTTTCACTCTGGTCATCCTCTGCCTGAACCAGGCGGCGCTGCTGGGCTTCGACAGCAGGGAGGCGCTGCAGGCCTGGGACGTCCGTCTGCGGTACAGCCTCGGAGAAGGTGAGAACGTCCGTGACTTGGTTTGCGTTCATCCTTTACGTCTTCCGCTTCATTTTAGAGACTCGAAACAACGATTTTATCCAAAAAGCTGCATGTGACATCATTCTACTGTTGCTACAGCAACAAGCGGACGGGTTTACTCATTGTGTTTGCAAAGTTTAGTGTTTGAAGTACAAGTACTCTTTTATCAAATTACTCATTGTCAAAGTTTCTTCAGTGCTGAAAACCTTCTCTGGAGAGTGTCGGGTTAAAATTAGTACCTGACTGCGCAGAACTAGTTGCTATATTGCGAAGAAATTGTTCGGCGTATTGTTTTGTACTATTAAGTGTTTAGCGTATTTCTTAGTTTATGTCTTAGATCTTTATTACTGTTTCTTTTACAATTTACATTTTTGCTATTGTTGGATGTAACTGGGACCCTGTGTACACAGTTTCGTTCCACCTCATGTACCACGTGATGCGAATGACAATAAAGAGCCTTGACCTTGGAATAGATGAGTGTTCATGGACAGGTTTTTTCACAATAATGGTCTATTTTTGTGCTCGGGTTAAAAAGCTAAATTCTAGGCAAGAGATGAATCAGATTGTAACTCGTCAAGCTTGTCCAAATAATCACCACGGAAAACAAAGATGCGGTAGCAACTAATCAGCTAACCACAGCCCATAATATTAATGTTTTTTAGATAGAAATGCTCTTCTACGTATTTTTTTAAGTGTACAAATATATGTTTATTTAAATTTGGCATATATGGTTTTATTTACGATAGTCAAGCTAATGTACGTGGCCATAAAAATCCTCCTATTGGTCAACTTCTATTCTAGGCTGCGCACATTATTTAGTTTCCCATTTTGTACCCAAGCATACCTATAATTTAATCCACGAGAGTACGCTTGAGAAATGTGGAAAAAAAAGACAGATTTATATGTGTGTGTTTAAAAAAAAAAAAACTTGTTGCACATATTTTATGCAACATGATCATAATTCGAATGACACGACAACTTTGGGAAATTGAGTACTCCTGTAAATGTTTCCAGACAGTTTGGAAACTTTCTCATAATTGCGTTGTGAAACTCGTCACCAGCAGTTGCAGCCCAGTGGGGTACAGGAAAATGAAAAAAATAATATTGTGTGGACGTGAGAAGGTTCAAAGATGTATAGAAACCGTTGAGAGCTTTTCACCTTTACTGATGAGGATTTTGTTCGTATGTGTTTCCTCTGCTGGCAAAATAAGTCACAATGAAGAGCTTTATTTTTACAATCCTGATTGATATTATTTTCAAATTCTTTGCATTTGAAAGAAGAGGAATGAAAGTCAGTCGTAGTAAGACAGAGGGCATGTGTATATGGAAGAAGACGGGTGGAACAGTGAGGCTACAAGGAGCAGAGGTCACAAAGGTGCAGGACTTCCAGTACTTGGGGTCCACTGTCCAGGACAATGAGGAGTGTGGGAAAGAAGTGAAAAAGAGAGTCCAGGCAGGATGGAGTGGATGGAGAAAGTTTCAGGAGTGATTTGTGACAAAAGCGTGTCAGTAAAGGTCAAAGGAAAAGTTTACAAGTCGGTGAGAGCAGCTATGTTGTATGGTCTGGAGACAGAGACATGGACAAAAAGACAGGAGACAGAACTGGAAGTGGCAGAAATGAAGATGTTGAGGTTCTCCTTAGGAGTGACAAGGATGGATAAGATTAGGAATGAGATCATCAGAGGTACAGCACAGGTTGAACAATAACGTTAGAGAGGCCAGACTGAGATGGTTTGGACATGTCCAGAGGAGGAACAGTGGGTATACTGGTAGAAGGTAGAGATGCACCGATCTGATGTTAGTATCGGTATCGATATCGAGGTTTGACGCCTCCCCCTCCAAACAGGTATCAGTAGAGATGCACCGAGCCGATATTAATATCGTATCTGTGCAGATATTGGAAAAAATTATTGATTGTGTATCGTGACAATTTGACCGATCCATAAGGACAGGAGCTGATTGCTGTTTATTTTAAATATCTACCAACCAAGCTAGTGAACTATTGTTGTTTCCCTCTTATTTCAGCTCTTTTATTATTTATTTTACATTATATTTAGAATTCCTGAACATTTGAAAGGTTTGTTGAAGTTTATTTTTTCATGTTTGACCAAAGTTGTCAACCTATTGTTGTTGTCAGTTTCAGTTTCTTTATTATTATTTATTTTGCATTGCATATTATAAATCAAATGTGTGTTGTTTTTACATGTGTGACCAAGCTTGTGAAGCTATTTGTGTGTTTAAGTGTGCTGTACTGATGCAGTTTTCAATAAATTTGTAATTCAGTACATTTATGTCTGCGTTTAAAACAAAACAAATGTTTAAAGTTAATTCAGCACAGTTTTTCTGTATCAGTACAGTATCGGATCGGTATCGATAGATACTAAACCTATCAGTATCGGTATAGGAAGTGAAAAAAGTGGCTCGGTGCATCCCTCGTAGAAGGATGTTAGAAATGCAGCTGCCAGGGAAAAGACAGAGAGAGATGGATGCAGTTAGAGAGGACATGGAGGTAGTTTTGTGTGGTGTTAAAACTTGTAGTTTCATGCTGTTGAGTATTTCTGGCGCCGCTGCTGCACCCGTGAGACAAGCAGAGTGGACCGAATGGACCTGCTATATAAGTCACAGAAGTGAGGAACAAATAGAGGCTATTAATAACGTCGAGCTGGTGGACAGTTGGCAGCAGGATTGTAAAGATGCTACTGATTTCAGTGTTGCTGAAGGTGCCAAAGACAAATTACCTCACAGTTGTTTCCCTCCATATTGGTGTTTGTGTCTGCTCGGCCTTCTGAGAACCAGACGAGTGTGTGTGTGTGTGTGTGTGTGGTCTTCTGCTTTATTGCTTTAGAGTGGAGCAGATCCAAGTCTGCTGAAATGTCACCTGGCAGCCCCCCTCTGGGCCACCGTGCACGGTGCCTTTGTCGTCTTATGTGACACCAGATGAATTTCTCTAAACGTGAGTGACGATGCGATGCGGCCGTCCAATGTTTTGTAATGGTCGACTTCGTTATTCTCACCTGGTGTTCGGAGCGGGTGAACTGCTGAGCTCCTTCCTGTTGATCGACAACCTGCATCTGATCTGAATGGACATGAACATTTCACAGCCTGATTGAAACTTTGTGACGTTTATATTGAATCTAGCTAAAGCTCATCGTGCTGATTTCATTCTGTTGCTCCTTTTTAAAAAAAAAAAAAACAGAAACAAATCCTTGTATAAACCAGCTGATTTTCATTTTATGTAAACCTTTAGTGAGGTTGCATCGTTAACACTATGTTGTCTTCGATAACACTTCATTGTCAAAGGTGTGCGCTCTAGATTAAACAGTTTTCAAACGCTAACGTTTAGATAAAAACGGTTGCAATTTTCTAGGCTGATTTTGGGTCTGCATACTTTTTAAAATGACGCGTCAGTCGGGTCCGGAGGATAAAGATTTAAAAAAAAAATTAAACTTCAGAAAATAAAGATCCAAAGAATAAAGATGAAGAGTTTCTATATCCATTTAAAATAGAGAGGAGTTGAATAAATATCCAGGATAAAAAAAAAAAGAACAAGAAAATAAAGATTCAGAGAATAGGGCTCAAGAGGATAAAGACCCAAAGTATAAAGTTTAAAAAGAAAAAAGTCAGAGAGTAAAGACAAAATAACAAAGATCCAGAGAAATAAGATCAAGACAACCAAGATCAATAGAATAAAAATGTGCAGCGTAAAGATCAAAGATTAAAATCAATAGAATAAAGATCAAAATAATTAGAAATTTGGGATCAAAAGATTAAAGTCCAAGAAAAGAAAGATCAAAAGAATGAAGTTGAAGAAAATAAGAATCCGGAGAGTAAAGCATCAATTTTCACCTTGACCTGATGTCACACCACGGTTGTTTTAACGTCAGTCTCAAATGTAGACTTAAATAAATTTAAAACTCAATTAAAGTTAAAGTTAAGTGCTATGTGTTGTCGTCATTGTATATTCCTATAAAATAGCAAAAGTAGTTCTCTGCATTTAACCCATCATCGCACCTGGGATACACCCAGGTGGAGCAGTGGGCAGCTATGTCAAATTCTGAATAAGCTTTATTATCATTGCACCGAAGTACGAGATCATATTCCATACAGTCGTTCGAAAGACGAGCGGAGTGCACGTGGCTGCTGCTCCCAAGAGCGCGGCCCCTTATTTAGATTGAAAAGGGGAAAGACCATGAGGAAAGGATAGTGGTATTACCAAAAAATATCTCTTCACACCTTGTTTTAAGACATCAAAAAACTCTACCAGTAAGAACATTTATAGACACATTACATTTGCATTTGACGACGTGAGATTTGTCCATGAAGCACTTCCAGATAGTACCATAGTCCTGAGAAGATGTTGAGGTCAACCAGTACAGCTCTGATGAGCGTTCACAGAGGTTCTCAAGGGTGCAGGGAACTGATAGAGCAGAGCCTTCTTAGTTTACACATATGTAAGTATGTACAATACAATACAATACAACTTTATTTATAAAGCACTTTAAAACAACACCGTTGGCCAAAGTGCTGTACACTAACACAGTTTAGGGGCAGCGACTGAGAACGCTCGGTCACCTCTCAGCCTCCTGTTGGACTTTGGGACGGCCAACAGCAGCTGATCAGCTGACCTAAGAGAGCGTGAGGGATTGTTCGGCTGGGGAAGGTCGGACAGATACTGTGGGGCGAGACCATGAAGATATTTGAATGCAAACAAAAGAACCTTAAAATTAATCCGGAAATGAACTGGGAGCCAGTGTAGCGATTTTAAGACGGGGTGATGCGCTCTCGTTTTCTGGTGCCAGTTAAGAGATGAGCAGCAGCATTCTGAACCAGCTGAAGTCGAGTCAGTAACGACTGGCTCAGGCCCACATAAAGTGAACTGCAATAGCCCAGACGAGTTGTGATGAAAGCATGGATTAAAATCTCAAAATGATCTTGTGACAGGAATGGTTTCACCTTGGCCAGTTGTCTCAGGTGATAAAAGCTGGACTTGACCACAGATTTAATCTGAGCATCCAGTTTAAAATCATTGTCCAACCTCACACCCAGGTTGGTTGCTGTCTCAGTCAGATGTTTGGTTAAAGGACCCAGATCAACATGGACTTTGGAACCATCACTGGGCTTAAACAACAAGACCTCCGTCTTTTTCTCATTAAAGTGTAAAAAGTTCTGTGACATCCATGCTCTGACTTCCGCCATACATTCCAGGAGTTGGTTCAAGGAGTACTGTTTATCTTGTTTCAAAGGAATATAGATTTGGCTGTCATAGGCGTAAAAATGAAAAGAACCATGTTTCCGGAGAATATATCCCAGAGGTAGTAAATAAAGGGAAAACAGAAATATGTAAGAGACACCACGACATGTGAGAATGGCTGGAGATCGAGCCTGGGGCTTTCGGGTCTCAGGTCGGCTGCCCTACCTCTACCCCATCTCGGCCCCTAATCTACCAATAAAAACAAACTGCATGCTGATGTTAACCTACAAGCGACTGGTTGTTACTTTTACCTTTCTGTTAACACAGATCGTTCAAGTACATCAAACCTGAATTGACGTGACGTCTCTCCATTAAGTCTCATTAAATTCAAGAACGCTTATGTTGCTTCAAAGGAGCCAAGCTTTTTATAATCATGTAAACTTTCTGAAGGTCTGACCGTTTTCATAGTGTTTTACGTTAGGCAACTTCACTCGACCTTTGAATCATTCAGGAGTAAAAAGACTCGTATTAGCCAGCTATTAACTTTATCATTCACAGCTTCTTATAAAGACTATTTGTTCTCATTTTGTTGGAATTTTCTATAAAACAGACCCGTCTTTCAGAGAATGTTCATCAGCTGTAGATTATTTTTAATGAAGGAAGGAACTTATCTTTAATGATTCATAAAGTTTTACGCCTTGTGGTCCCGTCGTTGCTCGATCTAATCTTCTTGTTTTCTCAGTTCACAGGTTCAGTGTTGGAGTTTTACCGGGGACCAAGTTGGAGAGCGGACCTGCGACCCTTCATCTGTGCAACAACCTCCTGGCTCTCGTTCGGGACTTTCCTCCTCTTATAATCGGCCACTGGAACCTGCCAGACCTGCGCAGATACGGACCAGTGCCAAATGGATTTGTGTTCGAAGGTGGAACAAGATGTGGTTACTGTACGTTTGAGTCTCTTCACACATCTTCATAGTTGCAACACGTTTGGATGAGCTTTGTTTCAGTCCTTCAGTCTTATCCTCCTTATGTTAAGATGTTGGACAAAACGTATCGTATTTTTCGGACTATAAGGCACATTAAGCGAAACAAGTTCATTTTGGCAGGTTTTTGAGCGCCGTGTACCACATAAAATTGGTTTGAGGTCAGTAAGCACAACCCGAATTAGTACATAAGGCGCACCGGATTATAAGGCTTACTGTCGATTTTTGAGAATGTTAAAGGATTTTAAGAGAACCTTATAGTCCAAAAAATACGGTAGATAAGACTTGTCAAGTAAAGTCACAGTTAATGAAATCGTCCCCTGCCCACAAGAGACAATATGAGATATTAAAACTATATTTTGTGATTAGAATAGATTAAAAACTGTACGTTGAAATTATGATAGAAAAACTAGGTTTGTGATTACGCTTCCCGCTTATTGTGTGTAAGAATGACAACGGAACCTCCAAGCCTATAGATTTAGTTCGTGATACCCCTTAGAGGAGAGGCTGCAGTGGGGTTTTAGCCATAACTCAAGTGGTAACTTCACTGGGTAGAAAGACAGACTGCCATAAAAAAGGTTAAATCGTGTCATCTGGACCAGTTTCTTTAAGTGGGAACTGTTTTGTCTCCCATCCAGAGGACTGTCAGTCTGCGGCTTGCCAACCAGATCTTGCCTATAGGTAGCCTTCACTGCTGTGTTTCAAGCCAACCTTCTGTAAAATCTCAAAACTAGACTTTTAGCACATGCAAAAAAGGCCCACTTGTCCAAAACACTGTTTTTTTTTTTCTCCTCATTTGAAGTCTTCATTTCCAGAAAAGACAGGATTTTGGATTCGTCTGAATTAGTTGTGATGACAACATTTTATTGGGCGTGGTAGTTCTGCAGCTGTTTCATGGTTCTGTTGGAACAGGAATATTGGTGTCCTTTTTGTTTGGTGTAACGTCTTGTTAGAATTTCCTGCTCTGAGTTGCCATACATATGCGTTGTGGTCAAGATTAGTTTAAATATTTAATCTTGTAATCTGGGGATGCACTAATTCTAGTTTCCAGTTTTGTCTGATTCTTGTATTAGATATAAATATATTCAACTTTGAGCCCCCCTGTCCCCACATGGACCATCACACTTCCACTTCAATCTCAGGTTTACTTCTCTGTCCTCATCCCATAATATCTTGTTCCAGTGGCCCATTTCTCATCAGAATGTCCTTGTGTCCCGACATTTGATGCAGCTCATGTTTATCTGGGTGATATTGGAGCCAGCGTGGCATCAGTTCTGTGTCTCACCTTTTTTGAAACACTGGATGGTGGATGCACCACTGTTTAATAATAATAATAATAATAATAATAATAATACATTTTATTTGTATAGCACTTTTATAAATACTCAATACTCAATACTCACATGAGTAAAAAAATAAAATAAAATCAACAATGCATAACACATAAAACACAGTAAAACATTTCAAAAGGGCTAATTTAAACATTAAAAGCAATTTTAAACAGGTGGGTTTTGAGTTCTTTCTTAAAAGTGGAGAGATCGGAGCAGGCACGAAGCTGTTGGGCCAGTGAGTTCCAGAGGATGGGGGCAGTGATGGAGAAGGCTCTGTCTCCCCAGGTTCGGAGCTTGGTCCTACAGGGGAGCGACAAAAGGTTGGCATCAGAGGAGCAGAGAGAACGAGGAGTGTAGTGATAGATTAGGTTGGTCAGGTATAGAGGGGCCGGATTATAGAGGGCTTTGAATGTGATGAGGAGGATCTTGAAATGGATGTGCTGAGTGATGGGGAACCAGTGGAGTTTCTGCAGGACAGGAGGGATATGTTCACGGGAGCGGGTGAGAAGGCGGGCGGCAGAGTTTTGAATATATTACAGTTTGTTGAGAGTTTTGGATGGTGTACTGTACAAAATGCTATTGCAAAAGTCGATTCTGGATGTGACAAAGGCATGGATTAGGATTTCAGCAGTGGAGAAAGTTGAGTGATGGGCGGAGTCGTGCTGTGTTTTTTAGATGGAAGAATGCAGTCTGAGTCATCTGTTTGACATGTGATTCAAATGAGCGTGGAGAAGAATACCAAGATTACGAATGAGTGGTGATGGAGTGAGAGCGATGTTGTCAAAGTTGAGGCAGAAGTTTTGAGTGGACTTGGTAACACTGCTTGGACCAATGAGGAGTATTTAATTTGAGAAAATTGTGCTTCATTCAGATTTTGATGTCAGTTAAGCAATGGGTGAGGGTGGAGTGAATGTTGGGGTTTATGGATCTAGTAGAAATGTAAATCTGTATGTCATCAGCATAGCAGTGAAAATGGAGGCCATGACGACGGATGATATTACCATATTGTCAGTCAGTGGGGGAGGGGATATTGCCAGTTTGGTGGTGACAAGAGCAGAAAGGGCAGAAGGGTTGATGGATTTGAGATTGCGGAAAACTATTTCACCATTTTTTTTTAACCATTAAAAACACAGGTTGGAGCAGAATCTGGGCCAGTAGCTCCAGCAGATGCCAGGAACAACCTCAAAGACCTCTGTCTGGACAAGTGCAGTCCTGGGAATAGCTAAGATACTGTGTCAAACCCTCAAGCTCCCAGGATGTTGCTTTGTTGTGTATCCAGACTTGTAGTGAAAGTACAACTGCATGTGGAAAAGGGTGAACTCTGACATATTTATGTTGGTCAGGCATTCATGTCTGGGTTTGGGATGGGCTTTTATTTTCCAGTGATGGGCAATCCTTACACTTCAGCATACCAAGACAGTTTGGATGCTAAATTACTTTGAAGAAGGCCCTTTTCTATTTCAGCATGACTGTACCTTGATGTACAATGCAAGGGCTTAAAAATATTATTAGAGTTTGATGTGGAAGACATTTTATAATCCACACAGAACTTTGTCATCATCCCATTAAGCAGTTTTGGGATGAAGTGGAACAGAGAAAACAAACTAGACCTCATATTTGTACTATAGAATACTTGTGGATTACTTCTCTAAGAAACACTAAAATCTTAAAGAAAGCCTTCAAAGAATTGTTGACACGTGTGACCAACTCCATACAGTCCCTAATGATGTTACAGTCATGGTGATGCCAAATACTTTTGACTATAATTGCAGTATATGTTTTGGGCGTGTTGAAAAACCTCCACAGTCCATCATATGGTATCACGTGTAATGGGAGTCCACGTTGTTCTTAACATGCACCAAATGACTTCACCAAGACCCTGAACAGTTCTGAATGATTTTAAATGACATAATATGATCGCCATCCATGGAGAAGCATACTTTACAAGAAAGAACAGGCAAACCAAACATCTAAAAGTAGTGGTCTGCAAATTGTTCAAGACTATTTAGCAACTCAAAAGTGCGAGGAAATTGCAATGAGTAGAGTCTTAATGAGTAGAGCATTTGCGACCGGTGAGCCTTACAGTCATGTTTTTTAAATCCAATTTGAGAAATTTACACTTTTATCCTCATGTGCACAGCTAGCAAACCTGTATTCTACACCTCACACTTTGTTTGCTGCCCACCACCGTCCACATCGTAACCTCCTTGACTCGCTTTGTACCCACCTCAGCAGCTGCACACACCTGTACAGTTTAATCTACTGGCTTTTATAATGAAAACTTCTAGACTAGTTTTTGTCCCCCATCAAGGAATGAAAAGGGGGGTTGGAAATATCTTCGTCCATCTGTTCGTTGTGAGCGCGATTAGTGGAAACATTAGTGAAGTACTGACTTCCATGTTATTGTGTGGCTACATTTATGTGTAAGAAATGTTCTTTTGGAAAATTGGCTTGCCACATCAACATCCAAGATGGTTGCCCTCAAATATATATACAGTAGTCCCTCGATGCTTTACGGTTTGACTTTCGCGGGTTCACTCTTTCGCGAGTTTTCAGCGTAAGACCGTACACAACACACGACTGGCGATAGGGAAAGACAGACCCCACCCTTCCTCCTCCTTTCTCTTTCTGAGGCTGTCTGTCACAGCTGAGACAGACAGCCTCAGAAAGAGAAAGGAGGGGCGGGTGGGGTCTGTCTTTCCCCATCTCTACTGCTCAGGGAGCAGGGATGAACAGATCAGATGAACAAATGTAGAATATGGGAGAAAATACTTCGGTGGAAAGATAAGGGTGGATCAGTTTTTAAAAAAAGAGTGAGTGGCTAAGTGTGGGTCACTCAGGTATAAGGCAGACCCCACCCCCCACAATCTCTTTTCTTTTTCTGAGACTGTCTGTCACAGCAGAGCAGAGACACACAACAGGTGGGCACACAATCTGTTGTGAGAGACAGTCGCGTAAAAAGAAAGGAGGGGGCGGGGTCTGTCTTATACCTGAGTGAGCCGCACACGCAGCATGGATTGTTTATTTAAAATAATCAAGTGCAACCCGAGACAAAGCTGTCTTTCACTGTGCTCTTTTAGAATGTTTAGAGAGTTTAGAACATTGGTAAGAACATTTCAAGAGAGTGGGAAGAGTTTATAAAGCCTTAAAATATATATAAATACTAAAATAAATATAACA